CTTGGCCAACATCTTAACAGCAAGTACCAAACCATATATTAAGCCTTAGCATGTCCCATGAAGTCACATTCTTCAGTTATTCTATCTGATTGTATGCTGCCATGGCAAGTAGACCTTGGTTTTATTCTGTGAAATTCCCCACTTCATGTATTTCTGTGTGAATTTCTTTGAAGAGTTGTGCTGGTACATGGTGGTGAGCAAAGCAGTTGGTTTGATGTGTGTCTAGGACAGCTGGATAACTTTAGCCTTTGGGTAGTGCTCTGTTGGGTAGCTTGTGAGATATTTTCATTTGACGCTCATCTTTCCATGGAAGAGATGTTGAACAGCTGTCCAGGTAGCATGTGGTGCAGTCCTAACTCCCAACCATCTCCTTTGACCAAATGTTGCATGTTGTTCAGCATCTGGGTTGTCTATGAGAGCAATGGCTAGCACTGGAGGCACACTCAGCTCCCATTTAAGATGTTTCCAACCACAAGAGCTTTGCTGAAGTCTCTGTTGACTTGCCACTTGTAAGGCACGTGGTATCTTAATATATCTAGCGATGTTACATGTTGGTAAGTTGTTCTGTTGTTGATAGAAGCCAGTGTAGGATAGAAATCTCTGCCATAATGAGATCTAATACATAGCAGTTAAATGTCAAATCGTGATACTTTAAACTATAATTAAAAGAAAGAAGCATTGGAAGACAGGAATAGGAAAACAGTAGTGGTTTTAAGTATTTTTTTATGTAGGAGCAATACCTAGGGATTTGGATCAGTTTAATATCTCTTTTACTGTGCCAAATGGAACAACAATTGACAAAATACTAATTGCTTTGCAATGCTTGTAAGGAATATAGTAATCAATGCAAATAAATATATCAAAACCAGAAAGGTAAATGGCCTACAAGAGCTAAGTAACAGTAATGAAATTATCCACTAATGTACATCTGTGTGTGATTACTGCTTTCGAAACTCAGTTGGCACTAGTCTTAAATTTCTTGTTGAATATGATCGTGTCTTGTAGATGTGTAGAAATGCTGTAAAAATGTGTTTGAATCTTGCTTTGCATTTGTACTATCTCATCCTCCCTTTCCCCTCACCAGTCAGAGCAGCTGCAAATGTGTAACTAATCATTTCCTGAAAGAATTTTTCAAGTCTAGTTCTCAAAACTGGGTTTTCATATTGCATCTTTGTCATATCTCAAATTCAGTCTACAGTCTTACTTGAGTGGGTGAGTTGAGCAGGGAAAGAAAAGTGGCAATATCAAGGCTTGTAAACTGATGCAGGCTTTCTGAGGCATAGAGTTTATTATATCCTGAAAGGGAATGTTGCTGCACTTCAGTGATTAATCAGCCCAACAAAAAAGCCAAGTAAAACCCTAAACCCCCCAAATTTATTCAGTATAACCCTATTGAATTGTGGTTCTGGTTTGCAAGGATGTTTTAGCGATTTGGTAAGTAAATATGCATCACTAACTTCTGAGGTTTGGAGTAGCAAAGGTATTTAGATAATCTAATTTAAAAATTACGCTTAGTTTAGATACATTTGGTACATATAAAACATTATTACCATACTGCTGTAAGATTTCCCACTGAACAGAGTCGAAAGGTTGCAGTTCTGTTTCTTTGCATGTCATCTGGTACTGAATCAGGAATTAGTGAGAAGCAGTGACATGATGTGTAGAATTAATGTATGCCAAATCCCTGCAACGTGTGCCCTATAGCTAGTGTGTACTTCGTTTGATGTTGCTGTATGTATCCTGGCATGAGAAAATAACGGCATGATTAATGAGCACAAACGTATTACTCTAGTGGCATTCCATGTGTATCTAATGTTTGCTTACTGTCTCTGCTAGTTTGCCATCTACCATTTTTATTTTTTCATAAGCTCAAAGTACTTGCCCAGGTGTATTTGCAACATTTACATATTTAGGTTGTAGCCTGATACTGTCAGCTTTCTTAATATGTTAGGAAAATAGTATTTTAAAATATTAACTACTAATAGTATTAATGTATTAATAGGATTTTGGTACAGAAAAAAGCTTTAGCCTTTTCTTTTTTCATTTTTATTCATTAAATCTCCCTCTTGTGCTCTCATGATTAGAGCTGTGCCTCCTCTTAAATGATTTCAGTTGCTTTCAATCTTGCCTTGAGCTTAGCTTTTTGTATGACCAGCTTTTGTCAGTGCAAGCATTGTTAATCTTATACCAAGAAGATTACTCATCAAATGCAAGCTGCTTCTTAAAATCACATTAGAAGTTGGGATTTTGTCTTACTCCAAGCAAGCTGAAAATGCAACTCTGTCCCATGATGATGACAACATGGGAATGTCATCTGACCTTGTGATTCATTCGTGTATTGCACCAAATTACCAGGCTGAAGCAATTAAGTCAGAGATGTAAAGAAAGTGGCTCTACTTATGTCTGTGGTTTTAATGTCTGCTTTCTTCTTTTGTATACCTGAGTTCTCTGTAAAGGATATACCTTACTGTTTCCCCCTAAAAGGCATGGTTTTCCCACATGGACCCAAATGCTTTACTGGATGAAAGTTAGTGCTTAAAACAGACCATCACTTCTAGCTACATAGTATATTTTAAAAATAATTAAAATAGTTTTCTTTTGGAGAAGAAAAATACCACAGACACCCAGTCTAGGCCACAGAGGTTTGAGGTTAATAACCTGTACTCTGTTGTCCTGGGAGGCAAGTTGAACATCTAGCAATCTGAGGTGGGAACTTTCATCCTGGCAGCTTGGCTCACCTCAGAATGTCTGAAGGCTGTACCCAAGTAGTTTTCTAAAAGCCATACAAAACAGCATTTAGCTGTAAGATCCGAAGTTCACCTTTGGTAGTTGTGTTTTGTTTGTATTTTTTAAACATACAAACAACAAACCCCGAAGTGAAAGAATTCGATAAATAATTATGCTTAATAGTGCATGCTCCTCATCTAAGAGGATTAATTTAGAGTTTTCCCCTGAAGCCTTAAAGGGAGGGACAGAATGAGGAAGCACTCAAATATTTTTTGTTTAAGTAAAGGAAAAATCCTTGCAATTTTTCTTTTTTCCATTGCTTAATAGATGTTTTTCATTTATTTTTCAACTTAGGTAGGTATTTTTTAGGCTCGTTACAGTAATTTGGGATAATGAAGAACTTTCTGTAAATTTGCAAAACCTGGCCTTCTTATTGGGAAGATTTTTCTTCTAGCTGCAGTTGATTCTTAAGTGTTTCCACAGTGTTGCTATCTTTAATATGATGCACAAAGCCAAATAACTAGTGAAATACAATTTTCTAGATCCAAAGAAAGTTTCTGTTGCTTTGTGCTAGTGAGACTCCATGCAGAGTGACAGACAAATTCCCTCACTAGCATGAGCCATGATAATTTTCTTGACATGTACTTGTGTGGTTTTTTGGTAGGTGTTTTGGTTTTCCTTGTTGCTGTTGTTTTAAATCTGGAAGTAAAATTATTGACCTTCACAGGCAGTGGCTCAAGGCATGTACCAACCTGGTGAAAGGCCGTACAAGAACCTAGACAAATTCCTTCTCCCTAGTATCCTTGATGGACGGTGATATGAAAAACATGCGTTTGTAGCATTTTGTTTTTAACTGATTTAGTATTTGGATGGCTTTTTTTATCTGAAAATAATGAACAATAACAAAAAAGCAGTATTCAGTTTTGCATTACAGTATTTTGGAAGTCTGATGCCTTTTTTCAACATACTTCCAAATATTGGTGCCTAGTTAATGTCGGCACATAAGCTGAATTTATGTTGGAAAATTCAGGCATACCTGAGAACATACTGAAATTATATAATTTGTGGTTGAAATGTTCCCTAAGGTAAGTTTGGCCTGTTCCAGCTACTTACTGTTCTACACAAGGTATTCACAGATGAGACTTAGGAACTGGGATGGCAAAGACAGCTTGCAGTATGCGCTTTGTACACCATCATCCTGTTCCGGAGGCTATGGCGGGATTCCTAGAAGAGATACAAACTGTTCTGCACTGTTTGGCTTTGTTGCCTGTTAGTGTTTTTAGGTGCACTTACTTATTAGTATAGGCATAGTATTGTATCTTCTTACCTGATTGTAGTATGGATGTCTTTAGCAGGGTTGTGCAAATAAAACTGGTGTTATAATTGGTACTTCTTCAGTGCAGACATAGAAAAGGAAACAGAATTTCCTTTGGCAAATGTATAAAAGCAACAGAAGCTGATGGCACTTAAATCAGTTGGCTAAGTGTAGTGTGCAAATCGGCATACAGTTGCTAATTACCTTCTTATAAATACTCTCTTCTCTGCTTCTTCCATATCCATTATGGGAGAATTCCAGATTGACATCTTGTATTTTTGTGGTAACGAGCATACCCGAGTGTGAGGTTTTTTTTCTCTTGAAAGGAAAATGAGATTTACAGATTCAGAATAAATGTTGGAAATAGGAAGAGGGGGAAGATGGAATTTTTTCCCTCTAAATGGGTATTATCAATATTGCTGGATTTGCAACTCCATAGGAGTTGCCCATGAAGTGCAGAAATGAACATATGAAAATAGCAACTTGAAGATCTGTTGGAAGTGTTTTCTTAATAGTAAGTCTGTCACTCTAGATGTAACTGCTAGATAACCTGACTTCTGTTTGAGAGAAAAAGGGCTGTTCTTTGCTTGAGTAAGGCTTTCTTCAGGCTTTGGGTTTAATCTTTTTGCCTCTGTTGCTCACTTGAATGTTATTTATTTATTTATTTATTTGGAAAGAAAATTCCATCTTTCATGATAGATTTCCTTCTCTAAACATTTTCTTTTTTTTCCCAAATAAGAATTGCTACATAAATTAAATGCAGAATCTGTGTTAAACATTTGGTGTGAATTTTTACATTTTTCAATTGATGGAAGAAATCATCCTTTCCCTTAAAGGCCAAAGTTAGCTCTCTTGGACCACTTCATGTGACAAAACTTAGTTATTGCTGTTTGTTTTGAAAACACAAAATTAGATCAATTAAGCAGATTATTTTAAAGATTATGTACTTTTTTTTCAGGAGGACCCAAATGATATCGACCCAAAAAGGAAAGATGTGCGTGGCAGCGATGGGGAAGACAAAGCACAAAGTGTGGAGACGCTACCTCCAGGTATTGCAGTAACATTTGTTATGAAAGATCTACAGCAATAAAACATTTATTATTGAAAGTCATAAAACACAGAGCAGTTGTTCTGATTGTAGTCATTCTTTGTAGTTTGGAAGTGCTAGGATTATTTTAGCAATACTGTATTCTTAAAGCTTCAGCTTCATTACATCTTACCTGCTTCACTGCTCCTTTGGGTTTAAAACCACAGAGAATGTGACTTTTTGCTAGTAGTACATTTGTAGTGTCCTGCAATAGGCTTGAAGTGATGTGGAAGCCCTGGGTACAAAAGCAGTCAATTTCTCTTGATGATCAGTGCTGGCAGGCAACAGACAAGTTGCCTTGGGACTGTGCTTCTGACTGAAGAGTCAGCCAAGATTCATGCTTTTAGGTTTGTCTAGCTTTTGGTGGGGTGGATTTTCCTGAGTGTGGTGATAATGTACCTTATTTTTCTCTTATTTGCTTGTTATTTGTCATGTGCTCGCAAATGAGAGTGACATTATTTTTGTTTTATTTGAGTGAAATTGTCGTATGCCTTGAGGATGAGCTAGGAAAATCAAGTGTTAAGGAATCTTCATTTCATGTGACTGCTTCCATAAACTTTTGCTGTTAAACTGTTTTGCATCAATGAGATTTAATATGTAGCTACAATTGACATAGCAAGAAAACCAGAAATAGTAAAATGGATTTGAATGTTTTACGTTGTACTGAAAAGTTTACCATACAAAGAGGACAACTTATGATCAGATAACTTCACAACATGTTTTACTCTTCTTTGATTAATGCTAATGTTTGGCTTACAAATTTATCGTAGCCAAACATTTGAAATATGATATCATAGGTCTTGAAGAGAGAACTAACGAAGGTAAACTTTCCGTTAGGCAGCTGGAAACTTCCATCCACAATAATGAGTGAGGTATGATTTTTGTTTTACAGTCTTGGATTCCTTGTACAGAATAAGCTGTTTGACATTCATGGCTTTTTTTCCTGTAGCCTTTGGCCTACCTTGTCTTAGCTGCTTTCTGGAGAGGGAAAAGAAGATTCTGGTTATATGTGTATGCTTTTTTGGCAAAACATTTACTTTGTGTATGAATTGGGTAATAAATCCTAGAGAGCTGAAGAGCCTGGCTTATTCAACTTGGTTTCTGGAAGATCTTTTCAAGTGTTTTGTTGTTTTTTTTTTCCTTTAACAGAGCTCTTTGCAAAGTTGTTACTGGGATTATAGGTCAGCCAATTTTGCACCTTCCAGCTACTATTCTTACTTCCTCTTTTTTAATGTTTATATATTCCTGGCCAAGCTCTATACATTTCCTATAAGACTTTCCTTTCCCAGTTGCCCCTAAGTAACCATTCAAGGGGTAAAAGAAGTAGGAAGGGTCATAGGCTGAAAAGGAATGATATCAGAACCTGAAGGGTTGAAGCTAGAAGTAAAATTAAGTGTAAAATTTAAGAAGTAAAATTAAGAAATAAAAAGTAGAGCAGGGCAGTGCTTGTCATTTCATCTGTTGATTAGTAATCTCTTATGGCTTGATTTAACAGGCAAGAGAATCATTACTGCAAAGTAGGATGAGAGTCTCAAATCAAACATCAAAGGTTACACTGGCAGAATTAGGCACTCAAATCACTATTTTGATTATTTTCAATTCATGTAGGCAAACTTCTGAATCTTCATGGCAATGAAGCTTGGAATTCATATTTCTGTAGATTCTTTGCACTGTTTCTTTTGTTTTAAAGCTAAATTATCAAATGTTAGGAGGGCTTTAGTTCAAAACTTTCTTGCTTTTTCCACTGAGGTGAGGAGAATTGTAGTTTAAATTTTGGTGTTTTGTAGGGTGGTGTCTTTAGAACTCAGATTTAAGGGACTGTTTATTATGTTTAAAATGGCCTTATATAAAAAATAAACCATTGGGGTTTTTACCTTCTGTACATCAGAGTGTATCTATTGTTTGTCATTTGGTGAGTCTCTGCAGAAGTCTGCTGGTTTGTGAAAATAGTCATGTTAGCTTTTGTAGTTAGAAAGACTGACCCTGCATTGTCTGCATGGATAACTGAAGCAAAACTGTATAACCAGTTCTCTGTAATGACATGAGTTTCAGCAGTTTAATTAAACAGCTCTTTTTGTTATTTAGTAAAGATCTGGAATATCCTAATGCGTATAAAGCAAATTAATCTTATTTAAAGTGAATATCCTCCTGCTTTTAAGATGTATTGAGTAAGAAGAGTGCAAGCTATTTAGGGGATTTTGTATCCATCTATTCCAGCTCTTTGTTGCCTACTGCTTGGCTGCGTGAAGATTTACCTGCTATGCTTTTTTCTCTGTCTCTCTTTGAGTTGCTGTTACTGTTATTTATCTTTTCCCTAATAGATCTGATTCATATTGCACATTGTTGACAGGGCTTTCTGCTGGAGCCAGAATGAGGCTTTGTCTCATTCCTGGCTCCAGAAGTCAAATTCACTTGCTCTTATAATCTGTAGGCTGTCACTGCTTTTTGGTAAACTTAGCTGTATGAAGTAGTCTCCTTTCTGCTAAGGCTTACTCTATGCTTTCTGGACTAGTGTTGCATTTGGTGGTTTTGAAGTCTTGGAAAATGGTAAACAATACATTTAAATGATTTATATCAAATTCTACTTGGATGGAAACTGGAATGGAATAAAATACAGCTATTTATTACAGAGGAAAAAAACCCTCAAAATGTGCTTCCTGTTTGAAATAAACTGGCATATTATTTAAAGTAATAGCAGTGAACAGCACTATTTTTGTTGATGGTCTTCTCCAAGATTTCAGAGTCAGGGAATACCTGGGACAAAAAGTAAGTTTCAAAAAACTTCACTGGATTTCACCTTTTTCTTTTTTTCTACTTAGCTTCTCAGGCTCAAAACAGTCTGTCAAATAAGCCCTTGTCAAAACCAGGTTTAGCACTGCAGCATACCCTGTTGAGCTTAAAAGATGAATTTATCATAGCATGTAGACTCGTTTGCTTGAATTTAAAGTTACGAACTTGTTTAAGTTTGAAATAATGTAGTTGGGTTTTCCAATACTTATTCCACCTGGTAAAGTTGTTGAACTTGGGAAGCTTACAGAACCAGCTAACTCCCCAGAGGAAATTAAATCAAATGTGCTCCTATTTGTGTACCCCAGGGAAGAGTACAACAAAAGCAGTACCTGTTATTGGAAAAGCTTTGTTAAACCACTTTTAACTTCCGAATAGTTGCTAAATTGTCAGGAAGGCAAGCCTTTAAGCAAAAAGTAAGGCTAGACAGTATATTTAGCTATGGATCAGCCTTTTGTTTTCCTGCACTTAACTTGAGCTCTTAGCACTTTGTAACCATGTGGGCAACCCAAATTGTGTGTTGTAGTTCATAAAGAGCGCAACCTGCTTAAGAAGAATGCTTGCAGCAGCATCACCCTTTATCACTAATGTGATGCCTGTATGATCTCATGTTTTAGCTACTCCTTCCACTGGATGGAAGGCAACTGGAGGAGTGGATGGGGGTGGCAGCAGGCATAGTGTTAAACTCCATAGGAAGTTGAAGAGTTTGAGAGTTGAAAGTCTACATAAATGCATTTAAAGTGTGGATTATATTTTCTAAAATGCACTAAAAATCTTTCTTTTTTGGACCAGAAAAGCAGGGACATGACACGTCTTGTACTTTAAAAAAATATTCAACATATGTTCCATGTTGAAGCTGTATTACAAATTGGAAGCAAGGGTGATAATGCAATTTAGTTACCAAGGAATTTGTAAAGATTTGGAAATGCTATGTGAGAGAGTTATATGGGGAGATGATCTTGTGATCTGTTTCTTCCAGTTTTCTGAATCGAGCCACTCTTGCATTTTGTATAGTTTTGTTGCAAGTGAAGTTTGGTGTCATTTTTGTAAATAACTGTATCTGGGTACTTGTAGTGTAGTAGCTGGCTGGGTTGTAAACTTGTTTTCAAAGTAATTTCCTAGAAATACTTTGAAGAAAGAACTGGAAAGGCTAAGAAAAACTTGGCAGTCTGTGGGCTACCAGCAGCAGCTTTGAAGCTTCCTTTTTAGAAAAGTAACTGGAATTTGAAAATCTGTTTTTCTCCCTCTGGTTATTTTCCTATCATTTCCCTTCTGGGCTACTTCACCAAGTATATATTGAATGTTCTGCAGTCTGTTTTTGTTTGACTTTCTCATTCTGCCTTGTGTGTCTGTACATGGTTTAACTTTAGGATGGTAATTCAAATTCCAGTCCAATTTGCTTTTGTAGATGAGCTCCTTAGATGATCCTGAGATTATAGAGGATTTTTAATCAAGTTGGCTGTGTTTGTCTGGTTAAACAACAGACAATTATTTTGTTTAATGGAGGAAAGTGTTTGTTCTTTCAATACCAGAATCTTCTAGCAGGAGTTAATGCACCATAGTTGGGGCATGGCTTAGGGATAAGAAGCTATGAATGAGGCCTGCCTCAGTTTCCTTACCTAGCAGGGTGAGAGATGGAGCAAAGGTTAATCTTGAAGCATCTGAGCAATGTCTTTTTAATAGCTGTTAGAGTATATTCCCCCTAGGCATATCTGTTTAGGGTATGCCTGGTATATACTATTTGTCTAAAAGCTGAGTTTGGATAGAGTGACATCTCTGCAGCCTGCTATTTACTGAACTTAATTAAAAGTACCTCAAAAATTCTGTGTGTTGGTTATGACAGCAATGAATATTGGCTCTTCTCCTCTGTAATAAAAAGTGACCCCAAAAGGCAGCTTTTGCTTTGTTTTTTTGTGGGTTTTTTTTTCTTTTTTTGCCAATGTCAGGTTGCAAGCAGGAGATTCTCATGCACATCCATGTTAAAATCAGAATGCCTGTGTTGCACTGGAACTTCAGATCTGATTTTGAGTTAAAGGTATACATTTGCTGTAGGTAGTACAGGTTTGGCTGTCAATAGGCAAAAAAGTAAGCATTCAAACAGTGGCAAGGACTGATAGTTTTAAGACACTCAGTAAATACCATGCTGTTGTTTTATACCTGAAGAAGGTGGACTTCCTGAAATTTCATTCCTGGTGGCTGGATGTTAATCTGCCACTCTGTGGTAGTGCCACAACCAGTCACATAATACAGCCCTTGATAAAGGGATTAATTTGTGAATAATTCCTGATTGTAAAGGAGATTGCAGTTATGTCTCAATAAGAGACATAACTTAAGAGCCATGTTTTGCTCTGCCTGCATGAAATGCTGGTTTGAGAATAATGTTGTCTTGTACTTGTAAAAGGCCTGTTCCTCAAATGCTTTGATTATAACTGACTGTTTTTACTGATGTAATGAGACAGTAAATTAAATTACGTCTTCGAAGTCTCGACTGAATGTTAAAAATATAACTGTTTCTTGGATAACTTTATAGCAGATCATCTGTCATGTTAATGCATGTCTATGTGGAGGGTTTGTTTTTTTAATGGGAATTGTGGTAGTTGGAGTTAAAAACCAAGAAAAACTAAACCAAAACAAACCCCCCCAAAACAGACAAGATGAACATAGTCTGGTGATTATTTGCATAAACTGAGATCTGTAAAGTTGTTTAATTTTATATTACTTTGCAGGATGTTCTAGAGGAATTTAATATGCAAAAGTGACTGTAAATGTTGCACTGTTAACAATTGAGGTTTAATTGCGTTGTTGGAAAATTAAAAACCAAGTTATTTCATCAGTTATGTCTGAATTGCTGAATGCTGCTTGTTACATTGAGGAGATTAAATTTGCTATTTTTCTGGTTTTCTCTTGTAGGAAAAGTTCGGTGGCAAGACTTCGATCAAGATGCTTATGTTGGCGCTACCGTGGTGCGATCTGGTCAGGATCCGTATGCCCGCAATAAGTTCAATCAGGTGGAAAGTGACAAACTGCGAATGGACCGAAGCATTCCTGACACCAGGCATGATCAGTAAGTGCTAAACTGAGTCATGATTGACTTGGATTAACTATTCTGTATGTATGGCTTTTGAGCAGCAGGTGTTTTTTCTAAAGCAGGAGAGCTCTTCAGCTTTCAGAATGACAGAGACAGTAAACTCTGGTGTGATCCTTGAGCAGTGGGTTAAAGAACAGTGAATCTTAATTAAGGTTTTCCCATTTCCATGACTTCTGTCAGTGTGTATTCTATATCCAAACTGGTGCTGCCTTTCAGTCTCATTTTGTGCTTACTTGATGGCTTTTCTTGGTTTCTACGTTTGTAAGTCTTTTTCTCTGTAAGGATGATGAAACGGTGGAGCCGGTTGCCCAGAGGGGGTGTGAAGTCCCTAGAAATAGGGATGTTCAAAGCCTGCTGTAGCTGGCCCTGCTTTGCACAGGGATTTTAGACTGAAAGATTTCCAGGGGTCCCTTCCATTCTCATTTGCTCTGTGATTCTGTTCCTCTAAGTACATGACAGTTGTTACCTCCAGACCTAAAGGAATCCTTTTTTGCAGACCCTGGTGAACATAGGACAGAATTACACTTCAAAATTACTTCAGTTATTCATGAAACCAACTTTTTTGTCAAGCTACTTGTGTAGATTCAGGAAATAGTGCATTTCAGGAAAAATTTTCTTGTGGGCAGAGAAGACTTTCATTTCAGAAAGGGGTTTGAGTGATTGCAGTGATCTCATTTAAGCATAAGTGATTAATATGAAAAAGAGTTGCATTTGGACTTTCATTACTTAAAAATAATAAAAGCAGCTTGAAGTTGGTTTTCAAAATTAGGCAATCATAGTCTCAAAGCATAAAATTAACCGACTGTGCTTAGTTAATATGCTTAACTAATTCTGCAGTTAGGAAGAACATATACCTACCAGACACCTGAGGGAGGAAGGTACCAGTTTTTTCCTCCATAAAGCTCTTTTACCAGGAATGGCATAGTGAAGGGGATTTGTATAAAAATTCAGGCACTTACTGTGTCATTTTTAAGTCCCTCATATAATAGCATGGGTTAAGTTTTGTAAGTACATGATTGGTAGATAGAGTAAAGCAAGTCTTGTATGATTTGCCATTAATTGAGCAGAAAAGTAGGAAGAACCTAATGTTTCACTTGTTGCTGTGAAAGCACTATAAAGCCTGATGCACATGGCATACTGAGTAGATTTTGAATTTTCTTCATCATGCATACTCTTTATGTTTGGTCATATGCCCCCCCCCCCCCCAAGATATGCTTTCTAAAATTGGGAACACATGGTCTTTTCCCACAAGAGCGAAGCTCAGCTGCCACCTTCTAGAAGCTTCTCTAATTCAGATATGCTGAATTTGGAACCCTCCTAGATATTTAATAACCTGAGAAGGGTCTAACAGACAAAAGCCAGACAAAGAACTTAAATACGAGATGACAGGAGACAAATTATATTAAAGTGGCCATGTTTAACTGTCAGGGTTGCGATTGTATCCTATTGATACCTACCAGCAAAACAAAGCAAAAAAAAACAGAATGGCCCAGACTGAAGCAATCATTCCTGCAAATTTTCCATGATGCTTTCTCTGCCAAGTTGCAATTAGTTTTTCTTCTATTTTGTCAAGGACATTCACTGCAGAAGCTGAAAAAGTTGCATGGAATATTTGTTTAGGAACAGCGCAATGGAAAAGCAAGAGCAATAGCCACAGGAAGAAGAAAATGTTACAGATCTGAGCATGTGACACTTGAAAGCATGTATTTCCAATAGAATTGGAGGCAGTTGGGCTAAGATGAGTACCTTTTATGGAGCTGCTACAATCTTTTTCTTTAAGAGAAGAAACCTGGATGAGGAAGTTACTGTTTCTGCTTAAGCAACTCTTTATTAATTGCATGAATGTATCTAAGAGGCTGTTTGACTTTAACTACATAGTAATACTATTTAGTTGCTGAAATTGTCTAGGCTGTCTAGAAGCAATTTATCAGGATTCTACATTAGGTATGTAAATGTGTGTGCAATTATGCATCTCTTTTAATATTACATTGTTTAGTCTTTTCTGCACTGGAGAAACTTTTACTAAGATCAGGTTAAGACCAAAGTTTTCTGCTTGCTTTTTCGTGAAAGCCTGCCATCAGCGCTAGAAAACAGATTGGTTCACCTGTTGCAACTGCTTGCCTTTATTTTAAGCCGAAGGGGTACAACATAAGAAAGGAGACAGTGACAGGAGGTCTAAGCAGGCATGCAGATTTTCACCCCAGCTGATGCTCACAACTGCTGCTTCCAACAGCTTTGAGAAAACTCTGGGTTTCCTTCTGTTGCAGTCTGTTGATGAAGTTATCCCTTTTAAAGTAGATTTTGGAGATGCAGAAAGTGAGTGTTGCAGTGGTATCAGAATACTTCTGGAGTTGTCATGTCAGTGTAAGGCAATCTCCCAAGTGTCCCTGCCCATGGCAGGAGGGTTGGAACTTGATGATCTTAAGGTCCTTTCCAACCCTAACTATTCTATGATTCTATGATTCTAAGTGACTTGAAGGGTGAAATACTCAATGGCTTTTCTGCACAAGTGGTTTCTGATCACATCTTCTATGTGTTGGCATAATTTTGGCGAACTACTGTTAAGTACTTTTAGTTGAACTAAACTGTGTTTTCTTTCTCATGGGGCAGCTATTAGAAGCTTCTGTCTTTCATACTTGGGATTTATTCTTAAGTAGAGAAGAAGCTTTCCTGTCTGTTTGGTACCTCAGATCTCTGAGATGAATGTTCTCCTTACACTGGTTAAAGTGGATATTTCTGTCAAAAAATGGTTTCAACAAATCGTGGAGGTTTCAGAAAATCTTTTCCTTATATGAACAAGTTGGTAACTCAGATTTCTGGGGGAAAGAATGTACTTTTCATGTTTTAACTGATTTTAGTGAACTATACTAAGCATTGAAGGTCTAGATTGAAATTTTCATGTCAAGTTCTATTTTATCCAAATGTATTTTCTCATTCTGCATGTAAAATTAAGTGCTGTATCTTGAGGAAGGAAAGTCTAATCTCCGTGCCAGAAGTGATGACGTTGCTTTGGTTTGAGTTCTAACTGTGGCGCTATTGACACAGCAGAATAGGAGGACTGCTACTATTTCAGTTAAAGCAGGTATTTTCTGAAGAGCTGAGAGCAGAAATAGTCAGTGAAACATTCATCCAGTTTTATTTGGAACTCTAAAAATCTGAATTTCATCCTCAGAAATATGCAGTAGTGCTCTTCTGAGTTTTCTTAAAATTGAGAGGCTTCATTACCTTGAGTAATTCTACCCTCTAAGATGTGCTCTGGCTCAAGTGCTCTCTTCTGCAAAGAGATCAGTGTAGGTTTAATGTGACTATTAAAATGATTCTAATGCAAGTGCTTCATGTGATAACTGCATGCACAGTGGTCTTATCCTCTGTGGGCAATTTGAAAGTTATCAGAAAAAAGATAAAAAGAGTATACTTTTTTTGGCATGTCTTGTAGCTGTCTAGCTGCATTGCCAGAGGCTCACAATAGAGGTTTTAATTCCTTAGGTTCCAGGAACACATATATGATGGATTTATTGCTTCAGTGCTGGACAGTAGTGATGAACCCATCATGTACACCTACCATTTGAGAAACAGAGCTGGAGCACCTCTTCTGTGAAGATAGCCTGAGAAAGTTGGACTTGTTCAGCCTGGAAAACCTTATAGCATCCTTCCAGTACCTAAAAGGGGCCTACATGAAAGCTGGAGAGGGACTTTTTACAAGGATGTGTAGGGACAGGACAAGGGATAATGGCTTTAAGCTGAAAGAGGGTAGATTTAGATTAGATACTAAGAAACACTTTACTGTGAGGATGGTGAGATACCACAGCAGGTTGTCCAGAGCAGTTGTGGCTGCCCCAGCCCTGTTCAAGGCCAGGTTGGCCAGGGTTTTGAGCAACCTGGTCTAGTGGAAGATGTCCCTGCCCATGGCAGGGGGGTTGGAACTGGAGGAACTTTAAGGTCCCTTCCAACCCAAACCATTTTAGGATCTGGCCTTGCTTATCTGGCACAGGAATTGTAGAGTTGGCATGGGCTTTGTTTTACTTCAGAATGAGTGAAGTTACCATGTCACAATAACTTGTGTTTCACAGCAAGCGCTAATGTGTGTGATGTTATGGGTGTGTTGTATGGAAAACACTATAGGTTCTTGGGACTTTGTGGGGTGGGCAAAGGGCAAGAAATGCATTGCCACCTCACTCTGATTCCAGGAAGTTGAAGGTGGTGTGGCTTATTATGCATGTTGGAGATGTTAAAACAGGTGTGGAGCAGCCTTTTAGGTAGGCAGGCACCTAGCTGTAGAAGTTTAGGTAACAATGTGTAAGCTACCTTTCTTCCTGTAAAAGATAGTTTGATTAATTACGCACGGAGTATGGAATTACTTGCTGAATTTGCTACAAGTGTATTCTAGCTGAGTTTATTCCCTCTGCAGACAGCTAAGCCTGTTAATTTTTTACCTCTAATATTGAATAAAGCATGTGTAAAGAAATACATTACTCTTGTGTATGTTACTGCATGAATGGTGATTGGTATTGTGACCTGCCAGACCGTAATGCTTTCAGCATAAACTCAATACACCGTGTTTCCTAGTACTATTAATTTCTAAACAATGAGACTAGTGTATTTTGGGGGTTTATTATCACTGAATTTAAACAGCTTAACTTTATATAGCCCTGCAGGAATTATTTTGGGATTTGCTTCTTTTTGTTGCTTATATTAACTTCAGGCTACTATAGCTGATGAAAAATAAGTTGACATAGGTGGAATATTTCATTACCTTTATGGTTTGGAAAGAAGAGCTTCTACTTCTAGTTGGCTCAACATTGTCACAGTTAAGTTTGTTTTTCAGATTCTGAATGTTACAATCCTTACAGCTTCTCACTAGAGCAGGAAACCATTTTCATCTATGAGCAGGACCGGGGTGCTACAGGAGCTTTAAAAGTAAATGAAGAAGTGGATACATGCCATTCTAAAGAAGAGACAGATGGCAGCCTGTGAACCTATGCATTTTAATTAAAAAATATGCTCATTTGCTTAGATTTATTGAATGCTTTTAATGTAATATAAGTACTCTGGTTTCCTACCCAGTTTCACGAAAGGTATTTATGACATACTGCAGATATGATAGTCTGGTGACTTTCCTGAACCTGCCTATATCTGACACTGACATCTTAGTGTACCAAGACAATTGCCAAAAGTGGCAAAAGAGGAGCTGATTATAATCTCACCTGAAAACAAGGTAATTCATTCTTCCAAGGTATAATAGTGTGTATGTGAGTTTAATGAAGGCTGTCTGGTACACCCCAAATGTAAAAATACTGTGTTCAAATGAAAGGGTATTATGTCTTTCAGGTGTCAGCGGAAACAATGGCGGATAGATTTGCCAGCCACTAGTGTGGTGATCACCTTTCATAATGAGGCAAGATCTGCTTTGCTTCGAACTGTTGTCAGGTACACCTAGGAGACCTTGATTTCATTTTTGGTTTTGGTTTGTTTTTTCCTCTTTTTTGGCTAAATGCTGTTCATTTGTGTCAGGTAACAGCTTAAGATAAGGAAGGGAAGTAACAATTCATTATGCTTTTCTAAACCAATTGCTGAGGGGAATCATGAGTCTTAATTTCAATGATGCCTTCAGATCTTACATTCTGAAATAGCAATGTTAAACAAAATCTCTCCTCTTAACCACAAGTACGTGAAAGTTATTGGTTGATGTTTGGGGGTTGGCTGTATAATATTTTCCAAGAAAATGTCAAGATGGGTTCTCAGGGGATATTTGAGCTGAAGATACCTGCAAAACTTCCATGTTACAAGTTGCCTAATGCACTGATTTCTGAAGGCTGAAATTTTCTGGGAGAGGGGACAATTCCACATGTGTTTCTCTTCACAAACACTTCCCATGAGAATAAGCCAGGAGCGTATTTTTGTTGGAAATGGCATCCTGGGCTTGGTTCCACTGTGGCTTAACAAAGTAACTGCTTTTATGATGTCATTGAAATTTAAGACTGCTTAGTATTGAATACCTTTTCTGTCTGTTTCAGTGTCCTTAAAAAAAGCCCATCACATCTTATTAAGGAAATCATACTGGTGGATGACTACAGTAACGATCGTAAGTACATTTACAGGGTCCTGTTTATTCTGATAAGACTTTCTGCAGAGACTAGTAGGTGACTTTAAGAATTAGTTACATGAATAGGAGTTTGCAAACACCAATCCAAAATCAGGTTTTATTTCTTTCATATCTATTGTTGTGGAAATGTAGAGTTCCGATAAATGTTTCAGGTACATTCTATTGCTTCCTGTTAGCTGAAGGAGTAGAGTGTGTAGTTGAAAACAGCCTTTCAATAGTATAATATCTGATGTAAAAACAACCCTATGGTGCTTGCAGCAAATATTTTTGTAGCTCTGTTTTAAATGAATTCTGGTGTCTATCAGTATCTTGGAAAAATTGTTACTGAATCCAAAATTGTTACACTGCAAGTAAAAGACAGACTAGGGACAATGTGGGCCCCCTGCAGAAGCTGTCAGGAGAACTGCCTGCCCTGCCTGGATTTGGAGAAGGCTGAGGTTCTTAATGACTTCTTTGCCTCAGTCTTCACTGCCAAAGGCTCTGACCACACCACCCAATTCTTGGAAGGCAGACGCAGGGACTGTGAGAATGAAGACCTTGGGCCCACTGTAGGAGAGGATCTGGTTCGAGGCCATCTTAAAAATCTGATTGTGCACAAGTCCATGGGTCCTTATGAAATCCATCCGTGGGTCCTGAAGGAGCTGGCGAATGAAGCTGCTAAGCCACTGGCCATCATATTTGAAAAATCATGGCAGTCAGGTGAAGTTCCCGATGACTGGAAAAAGGGAAATATAACCCCCCATTTTCAAGAAGGGGAAAATGGATGACCCGGGGAATTACAGACCAGTCAGTCTCACCTCTGTGCCTGACAAAATCTTGGAGCAGATTCTCCTGGAAGGCATGCTAAGGCACATGAAAAACAACAAGGTGCTTGGTAACAGCCAGCATGGCTTCACTAAGGGGAAATCCTGCCTGACCAATTTGGTGGCCTTCTATGATGGGGCTACAGAACTGATGGACAGGGGTAGAGCAGTTGATGTCATCTACCTGGATTTGTGTAAAGCGTTCGACACTGTCCCACACGACATCCTTGTCTCTAAATTGGAGAGACATCAATTGGATAGGTGGACCACTCGGTGGATAAAGAACTGGCTGGATGGCTGCACACAAAGAGTTGTGGTCAGTGGCTCAATGTCCAGCTGGAGACCAGTAACGAGTGGTGTCCCTCAGGGATGAGTGTTGGGACCGGTCTTGTTCAACATCTTTGTTGCTGACATGGACAGTGGGATTGAGTGCGCCCTCAGCAAGTTTGCCGATGACACTAAGCTGTGTGGTTCGGTTGATACGCTGGAGGGAAGGAATGCCATCCAGAGGGACCTTGACACACTTGTGAGGTGGGCTGATGCCAACCTCATGAAGTTTAACCATGACAAGTGCAAGGTCCTACACCTGGGTTGGAGCAATCCCAGGCACAGCTACAGGTTGGGCAGAGAAGAGATTCAGATCAGCCCTGTGGAGAAGGACTTGGGGGTGCTGGTCGATGAGAAAATGAACATGAGGCGGCTTCAGTGTGTGCTTGCTGCCCAGAAAGCCAACTGTATCCTGGGCTGCATCAAAAGGAGCGTGACCAGCAGGTCGAAGGAGGTGATCCTGCCCCTCTACTCTGCTCTCATGAGACCTCACTTGGAGTATTGTGTGCAGTTCTGGTGAGGGCAACAGAACAACATAAGGACATGGAACTGTTGGAACAAGTCCAGAGGAGGGCCACGAGGATGATCAGGGGACTGGAGCACCTCCCGTATGAAGATAGGCTGAGAAAGTTGGGGCTGTTCAGCCTGGAGAAGAGAAGGCTGCATGGAGACCTCATAGCAGCCTTCCAGTATCTGAAGGGGGGCTATAGGGAAGCTGGGGAGGATGTCTTCATTAGGGACTGTAGTGATAGAGGAATGGGTAACAGGTTTAAACAGGGGGAGTTTAGATTAGATATAAGGAAGAAGTTCTTTACTGTAAGGGTGGTGAGGCACTGGAATGGGTTGCCCAGGGGAGTTGTGAATGCTCCATCCCTGGTGGTGTTCAAGTCCAGGTTGGACAGAGCCTTGGGTGGCATGGTTTAGTGTGAGTTGTCCCTGTCCATGGCAGGGGTTTGGAGCTTGATGATCTTAAGGTCCTTTCCAATCCTAACTATTCTATGATTCTATAAAATAAGTTAAGATTTTTATAAGTACTAGGGTATCACAATACAAACTTGAACATTTGAAATGGACCTCTGAGTAACATTTCCTAAAGGAAGCTTATGTCTAGCATAAGCTAGTTTATCACAGGTTTGGGATAGGCTTAAACCTTAATGTTGCTTAAGAAGTGAGCTTTATTATGTACAAAGAAAACCACTTAATCCTATTTTATTGCAATATAGAAGCTGTCTAAAATGAGCAAATGGAGTATCACTAAATAAACGTATTACAAGAATGTATACATGTAAAAAATAGCTTTAAGTAACATAATGAGAGTGCTGCTTTCTTAACCTGGTAATTTTTCTTCATTTCTGGTGAGATATGTAAGTGCATTTTTTTTTTTAAAGCCTGTTTATTGTATTTAGCTATTTATGACCATAAAAATTTTCCACTACAAAGCTTTTGCTTTTCTTTGGTAGCCTGTCTTATAGTGTTGGATATCAAAGTTGATTTCTTTATTTTTGAATTGTAGCTGAGGATGGTGCTCTTTTGGGAAAAATTGAGAAAGTGCGGGTTCTTCGCAATGATCGCCGAGAAGGTAGGCTTCAGCTGGGGTTAGGAAGGTACAAATTCCATTGTGCTGCCATATATGTTAATCTTCATGAAGCTTTTTAAAGGAACATTCTGCTATATACATTTTATATTGAAGGGTTTTTTTTTACTTTATAAATTGATGTTCTGTTGGAAGGAATAAAACCAAATGCATTTGTGGAAGTAAAAACAGTGATTCGAGTTAGTTCTGGTTTGTTGTGTGCACAGTTGCCCATTGACTTTCATGCTGAAAGCTGACTTGAGCAATTGCCTCTCACCCTCAACCTCTTCTTTCTCTTACGGTACTGAATCCTCAGTTAAGCTGTTCCCATTGTATGTAAGGTTTCACTTAAACTCTATGAATGTTTGAAATGATCCAGCTTAAAAATAGCCCTCTCTATGGCAGGTTCCCTTCCTGGAGATCATTTTAAGAATTTAGTTTATGCACCGCCCAGTGAATACTTTGTTTTGGCAGACTTGAGGGGATTTGAGCTGCCAACAGGGCCAGGACGAGGTGTGCCACATTTGCTGAAGCCATGTAGCAAACTCATCTTACACTTCTGTTTTGTTTGTTGCTTTGTAAATTACAGTTTCATATCACTGAGCCCTTCACTCAACAATTTCCTGGCTGTGGAGCTTAAAGTATTAGATGTAGGCAACTGTTATTCTACAGCTGTTTCAAATAATAACAGAGTTGACAATTGAAATAGCTTACTGAATTAACAAGTATGTGTTTTGCTTGTGTAATTTTATAAGCACTGTATCTTCTAGGCTGCTAGCCTAGCCTGGGGAGCAGCTAGAAACATCATACTGTCAGAAACTGGAAATGACATGCACAAAACATGTGTTCTCCCATAATTAAAGTTGTTGCACACTGATGAGTTCTTTGTGTTTAAATAGTTTGGAATATACTCATGAACAGAGGCATGTTAGGAAAGCAGGCCTTTTATGACTTGCCATGGTTGCAATGTTCTGAGCAAGTTAATGTCATTTTTATGATCAGAACAGGACTTAAAGATGGAATAGAATAGTAATGGAAAAAACAGACTGAAGTAACACTTATATTAGTTTTTTAGTAATTATAAATGTTGTACTACATATACAGATTTGTATTTCATTTTCAGATATATATTTTTCATTTTCAGATGCATATTTTTAAGTGCAATATGACAAATCTTTTACTATGTCAGAAAATAGCTATTTACAGGTTAGAGTACTAGTTTACGTGGTATTTTTATGACATTAAGATTAAATTATTATCTTGGGACCTTGTGTACTGTTCATAAAGTCTTGCCTAGGCATCTGTGTGTGCAACCAGGTGATAATTAAAATTCTGTAACATTCCATTTGATTGCTGGCTCGATATGCTTGAGTTTGCTACTTTGCTTTTCATTTTCACTCTAGGCTTCTATGTACTAATTAATTAAATATACTAATTGTATATCAGGCACATACAAATTAAAATTTAAGAGGATCAGTGAAATCAACCGGTGTGTAAGATGCTAAGAGTAACACAATAGTATGAACAACAGAGGGAAGCAGCGTGTTTTAAAACAAAGGGATGGTGCCTGTGGAGGGGATAACACAGAGTGCCTTGCTTTCAGAAATGTGATATAGTCTCATTGGTAGGGCCAGAGTCTGTCACGGGAGCAACTCTTCTGTTCTAAGACTGAATGTGATTGTAGAGCACTCAATGACCCGAGTGGTCACCTCCATTTTTTTTTTCCCCTTAGGTCTGAAATTAGAAACACTGCTGTGTGCTTTCTGTGGAAGTAGAGCAAGACAGTAGGTTCTATAAGAATGTGAGCTGTAAATAATAAGCTCTGGAAGGAGGAATTGAAAAAATAAAAGAAACTTAGCCAGAGTGCGTGAAGATTGGTTTGATGTAGAAAAACTGAATAGAACAGGTTCAAAGGTTGGAGTTTGGGAGACAGCATAAAAACAGGGAGGTACAGTTAGCTGCCAGTGTACCACAGAACAGGTGTACAAGTACTATCCAAGAGTATCAGTATTGCGCATATCTTCAACAGTGAAGTGCTCACATTTGCAGTAAGAGATAATACAAGGGTCTTGATGAGGCTGTTGCTGAATGCTGGGCAGAGCAAAAAATGTTTTCATCTTGAGCATCTTGTATTCTATTTGGCAGAGTCCAGTTTGCAGGTCTTACTTTGTAAAGGGGATAGAAAGAAGTGGGCTTGATTCTTGCAGTGTTTCAGGTGGAGCAGGTAACAGAACAGATTTAGTGGGTAACAATGTCATTACTTGGCTCTGGTCTTGAGTGATAATGAAATGATGAATTCTGAGGAGTAGCAGAGGAAAGCAGGGAGGAATTTTGCAAAGAAGTTAGAGGAAGCTTGCTATTGTTCCATACTGATGTATATGATGGTATGTTGTGGAGTTTGTGTGTATGTATAGCAAGGGCTTTAAGGAATGGTGAGGTCATCCAATAAACAAATACCAAAAGAGAATGAAGGAAGGAAAGGAACAGGGTAAACCAGTGGGGGAATCTGTGTAATTGAGATATAGAGAAGAACCTTTTTGGCTTTTCCAGAAGTTTCTTCCTAAAGAAATATTTTCAAGATAAGATTAAAAAAGACACGTAACACTCTCCCCACCCCCCAAAACCAAAAACAGAACAAAAAAAACCCAAAAAACAAACCCCAAAACAACCAAAAAACCCCCAACCAAAACAAACAGAAAAACAACAAACCAAAAAAACTACAAAACAAAAGATTTGAAAGAAACACAGGGGAAAGCCAATTGAAAGGGAGGGGTGAGGGGGAGGCTCTCAGACTTGAGTTAATTCTTCCTGGAAGCAATTGATGGAAGAATGGACACACTGTAGTGAGAACCAAGATGGTGGGTGGTAAAAAGGTGGAGAGGATAAATTAATAATTGTGCTTTTGTCAGTTCTGTCTTAAACTATAGGAAAGGGGTTTGGTTTTAGGACCAATCTTGAGTAATGTTTATCAGTATAGATACCATTTCCTGTAATATCATTTAATGTAAATACCAAATACTGCAATGCAGCTGTACTTGTGTATTGCTTGTTTTTAAAAGGTACTTCAGTTCTCTTGCTTGAATTGATTGAGACCTGTTGACTAGGGTGCAATAGCTTAGAAGCTTGCAGGCTGTTTTGTATAAAGTAATTGTTAACTACCATCTCATTTTGGTAATGAAACTAGTGTGTTTGTTCTGTCTGAGTTAGGGTAATTTAATTCACAACTAACTTGGAATGCAGTAGGTTCTGACTGTGTTTTCCTCAGTAAGGAGTTGAAACTTTATATCTTTGCTTCTCAGGCTTGATGCGCTCCCGTGTCAGAGGTGCAGATGCAGCACAAGCAAAAGTGCTGACCTTCCTGGATAGTCACTGTGAATGTAATGAACACTGGCTGGAACCACTTCTGGAAAGAGTAGCTGAGGTTAGTAAAGAATTTTAAAGTAATTTCCTGAAGGAGTAGCTTTTAGATTTTAAAGCCATCTGTTTTATACTACATTAATTTTATGCATTTTTATAAGGAAACCTTTTCTCTGAAATGAGATGATGGAGGAGATCGGAGTATTCGGTGATTAAAACACATTTTGTTCATTTAATCTGTGAACGTTGGAGCATAAAATCTGAATATTTATTGCTATTTTTATGAGCAATTTAAATATATGCTTCTTTGGTTCTTTAGGGACCTCCTCAGTAAGTGTCAGAAGTCTTTTGAGCAAAGTATAGTTCTCGTCGACCAATATCATCTCAATGTAATTCAGTTTATCTGAGTATTTATGCCTCATTGAGATTCAGTGTGATAATAGGAGAGAAGTTGAGCTGTGAAACCAAAATCCTCATGGAAATCAGCAGGGACTCTGGGCTCTCAGCTTCTGTGAAAATGACACTTAGTCTGTGTCCCGGAAATGCAATTGAGTATATTCTTGAGGGACTGGTTATACTTGTTAACTTCCTCTGAAGAAACTCAGTTGAAGTGGAAAGTGAATCAAGTGTGATCCCCAAAAGCCCTGGGGAACACTCAAGACAACAGGGTTTTTCTTCTTTCTTAATTGCCTTTCTTAATTCCCTTTCTGGTAAACTCCCCTTCCTGTAAGGGGAAGCAGTTAATTTCAGAATGCTCCTGATCAAAATGGTGTTGCTCTAAGTACTTTCTTGTTAATGGCCAGGTCTTCGCTCGTCCTACCTATGCTTTCCTTCGCATTTGCCCCCAGGAAAGGGGAGAGGGGTGAAAAAAGGAAGGTAACCCCATATATTCAGCATGCCAGTAGAGAAGCTGTCAATTGGTGACTGGTTTTCCTAATTTTGTTTGATTCTGTGATGCTTTATAGAATCATATGTATAAATCATTTAGGTTAGAAAGGATCTTTAAGATCACATCCAACCTAGTTAAACTAGCACTGCCAAGACCACTACTGAACCATGTCCATAAGTGTCATCTCTAGACGTGTTTTAAACCACGACAATGCCTTTTAAATGCCTCAGGAGTGCTGATTCCACTTCCTCTTCTAATGCTTGCCAACCCTTCCGGTGGATAAATGTTTCCAATTATCCAGTCTAAACCTCTCCTGGTGCAACTTGAGGAGATTTCTTCTTGTCCTATCACTTGTTACTTGGGAGAGGAGACTGACAGCTAACTTGCTGCAACCTCCTTTCAGGTAGTTGCAGAGAGTGATCAGGTACCCCCTGAGCCTCCTTTTTTCCCAGGCTAAATAAGCCAAGTTCCGTCAGCTGCTCCTCATCACACTTGTGCTCTAGACCCTTTGTCGGACACACTCCAGCACATCAGTGTTTGTCTTGTGGTGAGGAGACCAAAACTGAACACAGGATTTGAGGTGCTGAGTACAGAGGGCCGATCCCTTCCCTAGTCCTGCTGGCCACACTGTTTCTGATACAAGCCAGGATGCCCTTGGCCTTCTTGGCTGGCTGGGCACAAGCTGGCTTATGTTCAGACAGCTGTCAACAGACGCCTCCAGGTCATTTTCCGCCAGGCAGCTTTCCAGCCACTCTTCCCTAAACCTGTGGTGTTGCATGGGGTTGTTGTGACCCAAAGTGCAGGACCTAGCACTGAGCCTTGTTTAACCTCATACAATTTGTCTCAGTCCATTGTATTCTTTGTGTATTTCAGTAATACTGTAAGTTGCCTAAGACATATTAACAGGTAAATCCTATTTTGAAGCAGAAATAACTCTAATCAGCTCAAACCTGGACACTATTAAAGGACCTAGAGCTTACAAAGCTCTTGTGTGAGTAATGTAGCAATTCCTTCTGGGGTTTGTTTTTTTTTCCCTGTGTACAGTGCTACAGACTCAAAAGTGTTGGGGAATTTCTCTATAACTAACTAGAAAAATAAATTGGAAGGCATTAAATATATTTCAAAAGGAAGTTGAGTATGCCTGCAGGTAAAGCACTAATGGATTCTGGGATTTTGGAACTGTTTTCAGGCCTTTCTGTGTAAATGCTGAATGTAAACCCTCTTATTAAATTGCTGACAGTTTTGTTAGGACCCATCATTATATGTGGTATACTTGATGGGAAAAACTGGTGTATAATTTGCTTTGTGCAGCAGCTGCTTTTTAGCCCCACATGCATTAGTAGATCCTTCAAAATTTCCTCCTCACCATTGTCACTGTGATACACACTAATTGTGTCTCTTTAATTGTTTTCAACTGTATGAGTACAGTTTTTCATTCCTAAAAGCTTGATGTACTGTTAAATAATTGATGTGGAATTCCAATTTACTTTTATCTTGGACTAGATTCTCAACCAACAGGCATGGGGATTGATGGCGTAGCTTCTAAGCTTTCTGCTTGTTCAAATGATTAAGGCATGGATAATGTTTACATGTAGTATATGATAGACTGTTATTTTAAATGGATTGATTTAGCTCACTGTGCAGACAGTCTGTTACTTGCTGTTAATTGGGAGTGTTTTCTTGATGGTCTCAGTGACAATAAACTGAATAGATATGAAGTCATTTCTGCTCTGGCCTCAAAGGTGACTTTTTCAGGTCAGGACTAATATGCATTAATACAGTACTCTGATGTGCTGCTATATTTATTCTGTATATGGTGGAAAGTGTAGGTTTATTCTTTCCATTTGGTCTAGAATTGCCCAGTTGGTATTTAATTCTGTCAGACTTTTGGGGGATTAGTTGTGTGTGTTACAGTTTAAAAATTTATGGCTTACAAGAAACAGTCCGGATTGAATGAGCTATATAATACTCTGATGTGCTGTAGCCACTTCAGGAATCTGTGTCTCTGAGATCTTGCTTGTTAGGAACACTTGAGACGTCAAGCTTTCCTCTTCAGTTGAATGATGATCCATCCCACAGTTATTTTTCTTTGAGATGATTTCCTGGTTAGAGTATCTTAGTCTATTGACCATGCTTGCTTAGCATTTCTAGAGGGGTCTGGCACTGGTGGGGATTTTTCTTCAGAAATTTGAACAAAGGCTTAAAGCAGAAGCAACATACATACAAGGTGAATATTTGAGTTCATATGTGTACAGATACCCACATATGGTGGAGCTGGTCTATGTTCTCCCTCTTCGTTCTCTTCCAGAGAATGGTTTTCTGCTGGCTCCCTAAGGCTACCTTTTATATCCTCTAGACCCTTTTTGTGTGTGTTAGGGGAGATTGAGGAGACAGTGGGGGTTAACCCTTTGATTTCCCCCAAAATCCACATATTAATAAGCATACAGTGTCTTGAGAACACTGGTAGCTACTAGCTGTTTCATGAACGTTTGTCTACTTGGCTTTTTCCATTCCAAGTTTCTAAGCACTTCGACATTCTATTCTTGTTACATCAGTTATTAAGGAAAAAAATAAAAATTGAAAGATTCTGTTGCTGAACTGTTCTAATCTGTTTTTCGTAGCATAACTGTAAATCCTATATCACTTTCAGGAAGGTATTTTTAAACAAAGAAGATACTAAAAGGCAGGAAGATCTAAGATTAAGAAATGAGGTGTGGATCCCTTTCTCATATCTGATTTTTGTGACCTTGAATGAGTCAACTTTTAACTGCCACAATGCTGTAAGGAAATATTCATATTTTATCTTCAGAGTCTTGTGAAGCTTAATCTTTGAAGCATCTTGTGGTTTGGTTTTTTTTTGGGGGGGTGGGAGGAAGGAAGCAATGTATGCACAATCTTGAGGATGATTTCTGATGGTTTATGAGAATGATATATAATAGTCTAACTCTCTAGAGCAGGCATAACTTCCTAATGAAATATGAAGATAAAATTGTCTGCTACAGATTTCCAGGCAGTAGAGACTCGCAGTATTCACAGGCTGTTTCTTTCCATTATCTTCATCAAGGTGCACATGGTTTTACAACTGTATGTTCCATTATAAGTTATAGTGTCGACCCCTCTGAAAGATTTCTAGTTCAGTCACCCTATAGATAAATGTCTTCTTGTAGGATAATTTAAAGGGAGCAGCTGCTTTTTAGTGTTTTAAGTGAATTAACTCACTGTACTTTAGAGACTCACAAGCTCTTTTTAGCAATCTCTGCATTAAAAACTTTGTGGTGCTCTGCAAAGCATTCCCTTCAGAATGTGCAAGTCTTTTGTCTGCTTTGCTACTAGAGCAAATCTATAATTTCAAATCATGACAGGAACAGCATGTTTCCAAGCCAACAAAGTGGGGTTATACAATGAACTGAATGCTTACAACCTGGGTATTTGTGTGTCGGAGAAACAAGTGGAAGTTGTTTAAATAATGTATTAGGTGTAGCAAGTGGTGTTGCACTGATATTGATAGAACTAATCGGGCCAACAGCAAAAGTTTGAGGAAATCGTAAATGCACAGACACAGAGTCCTACCTGCTTACTCAGCATGGGGGAGGCAAATTGAAGCCTAACTGAAGCTTTACCTAATGTGACACCTAACAGCTTGGGCAACTTTTACCACCAGGTTCAATTGTACCAAATAGAAGCATTTAAGAAAAATGCAAGGTTTTGTCAGAAAAGTTTTTCTTTAAGATGGGCGTAGATGTATAAGCCATCCTATTTTCAGCTAAGGAAAGAGGGGAGAAAAGAAGGGAAGGATGGGTTTGGTTTGTAATTCATGCTTATGGGTATATTGTGAATAATTAGATAGTCTGGATAGCTTCTGACTCATAAATAAAGGAGTTTCCTAATTTTCATACTGTATACAGAATGGCTAAAATAAGGTCATGGGTGCACCTGAAGTGCTTTAATGGTATAGGGGGACATACCAATACAATTGGTGTTTTGCAGTGAAGGTGTAGTAAGCTGTAATTGCCTCTCAGCTTCAACAGTTAGCAAAATTGTATGCTTGCATTACAAACAGGGCTACAGCTAACAGAAGCAGAAGTTAGAGGTGATTGATGAGGAATAGGACAGGTTGGTCTCTCTTGTCCCTGTTTCTAGTTTGCTTTAGACTAAGCTTAGTGGCAGACCTGATTAAATTTTATGTTATATCCCTCATAAAAGCAGATATTTGTCCCAGGTGGTATAGCTGCAGTCATACTTAAAAGGAATGTAGAAATCTATAATGATGCTGGCTTGTGTTCAGTCAGCTGAACATGAGCCAGCAGAGTGCCCAGGCAGCCAAGAAGGCCAACAGCATCCTGGTCTGTATGAGAAATAGTCTGGCAACAGGGCCAGGGCATTGGTCCTTCCCCTGTACTCAGCACTGGTGAGGCCACATCTCAAATCCTGTGTTCAGTTTGGGGCCTCTCACTACAAAACAGACATTGAGGTGGTGGAATGGGTCCAGAGAAGGGCAGCAAAGCTGGATGAAAGGTCTGGAGAGCAAGTATTATGAGGATCAGCTGAGGGAACTGGGGTTGTTTAGTCTGGAGAAGGGAAGGCTCAAGGGGCACCTTATTGCTGTCTACTACAGCTACCTGAAAGGAGGTTGTAATGAGGTGGCTGTCAATCTCTTCTTCAAAGTAATAAGTGATAGAACAAGAGGTAATGGCCTCAAGCTGCACCAGGGGAGATTTAAATTGGATATTAGGAAACATTTCTTCACAGACAGTGATCAGGCGTTGGAACAGGCTTTCCAGGGAAATGTCCCTGGAAGTGTTCAATAACCTTATAGGTGAGGCACTCAGTGACATGCTTTAGTGGTGGCCTTGGCAATCCTGGGGTAATGGTTGGACTTGATGGTCTTAAAGGTCTTTTCCAACCTAGCTGATTCTATGATTCTGTGAGTCTTCAGCTTTTAGCTTAATCCCCAGCTCACCTTCTCTTGAATTCAGTTGGGTTCTCCTTTTGGCTAATACAGAAGTTAGTGACCTTTTGCTCACTCAGGCAGAATGACCTAGTAAAAGCCAATTATAATTAGGGCTTATTAAAATCAGCATAGATTGAATAATTAATATTCAATAAATGAGAATGGGTGTTTAATGTCCTTATTGGACCAAGCAAAGCATTTGACTAAGAATTGCTTCCAAGTCTCTTGTTATGAGCTCAAGCTATTCTCATACTAGTCAGGTTCCAATCTGTTCTATGTGATACTCATTAGCAAAGGGATGCGTTGCTGAACCACTGTTCAGAATATATGCATTCTTGTTTGAAGACATACCTATGGAATAAATTCTTAAGATGGACATGTCTAGGTTGGTATGGTTTATAGCCACGAGAACTGTTTCTCTGTAACAGAGATAGCAAAATTTCTCCTGCTCAAAACCGGTTTCTTTTATATTCACAGATTTGGTGGTACACTGTTCTGAAGTTATCTGTGCTCTTTGAATGATGTTAACTTGTGGAGCTCAAACTTCTATTTTGAAATTAACTAAAATGTTCCATCAAATTGCCATAGAAGTTATGCTTCAGTGTGTAGATGTATTTTCTTTTTTTCCCCAGTAAATCACGGAGACAAACTGGCTTAACCATGACACTGCATTTCTAATATTAGATGAGTCTCTTTTTGTTTTTTTTTTTTAGAGTACCAATGTCTGTCATCCTGCTGGATGATTCATGTGGAGCTGTTGGAAAGATTTTTTTGTTTTATTTTTCTTAAACTGTAACATTGCTCAGAGTAGTATATGAGACCATGGTTGGCCAGGGGAATGTGCTATCTGTACCACTCTAATCTTGGCTGCTGGAGTAATAGTATTCATTAGTCTGAGGTGTTTATAGGTTCTCTTTGCTATCTGAATATCTCATTGTGAAGTGTGATTCTTCTAGTGTGGAATGGATTAGCGTAAACCTAAGACTTTTCTGACTGCAGAAAGGCCTAAGTGTTCCATAAAGGTTGAAATGATAAGGTCCTAGCATACTGCATGGCTAGGGAGATTTGATGTGGAAAATATGAATTGCCTGGATGATTCTTTTCTCTGAGCAGGTGTAAAAGTAAGAATGGAAGCACTGTGTGCTCAACTGCCTTTAGAACTACAAGTTTGCTGCCTTCTTCAAGAACAAGTCAGAAGAGGGGGATTACTTAAATATAAGTAGTTTAGCACATAAGAGTTTTCCCAGCCATATTGTGTGCTTTTTCCTTTATGAAGCAGTGCTGAGCAAGGCTGTTTGTAGCTCAGGCTATTCAGAACTGCAAGTTGAAGTAGGGGGAGAGCTGGGGAAGATGTGCTAATGAAATCCTGCTGAACTGTTCAACATCTCATTCTGCCTGAATCTTTATATATTGATTTCATTATTTCAATATTACTTTCTAATATTTATTTTAGGACAAGACCAGAGTTGTGTCTCCTATTATTGATGTAATTAATATGGACAACTTCCAGTACGTGGGGGCGTCAGCTGATTTAAAAGGCGGTATGTACCTGTACTGGAATATAGATTTGAAACAGAGAAAAAGGCATCAAGAATCAAAGCTCATAATTACTGCAGTTGTGAAATGGGCAGTTAATGTACTGTTCTTCCCTTTCATGTATCTAGTTTTAAGTCCTGTAGGTCACTTGTTTATAGACTTTGATTTTTAATTGGCCTTGCTGTCCTCTGCTTTAAAACAGTTCATCTTTATTATACTAATTCTTAAAAGTTTATGCTGCCTTTTACCAGTGTGTGAGACTTGCTCCGATGTTTGTAGGATTGTGTAAATGTGTCAGAATAAGCTTATGGCCAGAGCTTGTGATTCTCTTTTTAGACAGGACAGGCTTTCATTGCTCACTAGCTTAGAAGCCCACCAGCAATGAGGTGCCTATGAGTTGTTTTTTTCAAGATGCTGGTTTGATTATAAACTTAAACTCTTCTGAAGAAGCAGAAAGCTTTGGAATGTGTTTAAAAGAGAAATGTTTTTGTTAGCCATGATCTGTAATTGTGAAGAGGGTAACATGTGACCATGAAAATTGTAGTGTTTAAACCTTTACCATTACAAAATTCCCTGTTAAATTGAGTTTAGAAGTACCACAGGTTTTCTACATCTAGCTAGTGTAAACTGTTGACAGCAAATAGTAAAAAGACTTGTGAAACCCCCAAAAGGAATAAATAAATAAATAAATCCTCCCATCTGCTTTGTCAAAGAGAAGGAGGGCAACCACACTAAGATCCTTACTTATTACAAGTTTCTAAAGCTTTTTTCCCTGTTAGCAAGAACCTAGCATGTGAAATAGCTGTTCTCAGCCCATCCTTCCCCCCTTTTTTTTTAGTAATTGTTCCCACAGTACTGGAAACTGAACTGGCTCCATAAAGATAGAAGATGAGCCACGACATGGAAATTGTACAGTGCTGTTTTCACACTTTTTCTGAATAGACTTTTTTGAGTGAGGAATGGAAAAACAATTTCAAGTCTATTCTTTCAGTTACTAGTCTCTAACTGGCCACCAAGCATTGTCCCAATAAAGTATAATAAAAGCAATCTTTATGTAATGTTGCATATGCTTCAATTGTCAGTGATATGGAAGTGAGATGTTCTGTATCCTTTTAATTAACATTTTGAAATAAGACCTACAGTGCATACATTCACAGTATGCTAATGTATAGTTCTGTGCTATTATCTGTGTGCCAGCTTTATTAAAACCTTAAGTCTTTTACCCAATCTATTCATATACCTAGAGTATGGAAATCTCTGTACCATTATGTGGCTCTTATTGTTGTCTGCAGTAGGAGGAGGAATTCTTTCATTGAAACCTTTGATTGGTTCCTGCAGGGTTCATGCTCTTTAATTCTTCCCAAGTGAAGTGGGAAAAGATTTAGAGATCATTTCACTTGTTACTGCTTTTCATGCTTCATCTTTGGAACTAAGTTTCCCTCTTTTTTTTCTTTCTTTTCTTTTTTAAACCATCTTAGTGCTTGTTTTCTCCTCTCATACACAATAGCAATAGATTATTTATATATATATTTTTTAAAGTGTATGTGGCCTCAACTTCTGGGTTGAGGAGTGTGAAGTAGTCTTTTTTTTTTAATGCTAACAACAGAAATTTTGCACGTACCAATGTTTGAAGCTATCTGGGGGTCTGTTGGAACATGAATAATAGATTTCTCTTCAGTTCTTGGAGGACAGATTACCGTGTTAGAGACACTACAGCATTTGGCATCCCAGGACACTTTTCACTGGGGCCAAGTCTAAACATGGAAATCAAGCTATGCTTTCAACCTCAGATACAGTATCTGTGTGAAGCATGGAGAGTTGAGACAGCTGGGACAGCATTTGGCTGCTCTGTTTTGAAAGGGCTTAATCACCCAAGACCAGGAACCTAGCAAATGCTGCAAACTTTTTAAAGTGGATGGGGCTGAAACAATTCGCAAGTCTGGCCAGCACTAAATCCATGCACTTCATGTTACAAATTATTTTTGAGGGGGGATTTGCCAAAATGTTTATGCTGCTCTGAGAAGGACTTTAATTACTGGAATAAACTGTAGTTAACCGAGATCTAATAATTTAGGGTATGCCTACAATGCAGTTTACACTGGATAGAATTTCATATTGGATATGCACTTGTGTTTAAAAATACTTCTTTTACAGAGTTACTGATGTTATCTCATTGAATGCAGATTTTTCCCAGAGTCAGTGAAAATGGAGACGGAAAGCTATTTTGATGGGTAGACAATTCATGCACTTGTTCAGCGTTTGCAAGAGTGTTGTGTTCCAAAAGAGACCCCTTGTGTTCATTAGAGTGTATGTAACTCTATCTCTACCACTTCTGCTGGAGAACAGTAGGATTTTTAAGTTCTCCCAGATGCAAGTAATTTTGCTGGGCATGTATGGTGAAATGTGACTTTTTAACTGCAGTGAAATATTGGAGCTCATTTTACTTTTCATGCTGGAGGCTTTGCAGTAATATAGATTGTAGTAATTTTACTGTTTTGCTGCTTGGAGTTTTGGAGTAGTTAGATGGTCTTTCATTTTTACAGTGCAGCAGTTCATAAGATACTCGAACATGGAGAGAAAGAGTTGGCATGCATTCTGTGAAGACTGTTTGGGATAATTTCTGTATTCTGTGTGTGTGAGATAAATATCTTGTGAGTTAAACTGAAAACACTTTAATTTTCCGCTCTCCACATTAATCATTACTACACATTTGCAGATGCATACAGATAGTTTGTGGGACTGTATTTGTTGTCTGTTTACCTTAGCTTTTCCCCCATTTCCCTACAAATTGCTTTATCTTTATGCTGGAGAAAGAAAACTATTGACATCTGTGCACCAGAACTCTGGAAATCATTCATTACATGACCTCATAGGATCTAAATGTGTTTGGCAGCAGACAGTCTGTATAAGGCTGATTTGTGTCTCCCAGGTGTACAGGGTGAGGGCTATGGACCTTGCATAGTTTTTAAACAAGTGTTCATGCTTATGGGCATAACCCAGCTCAAGAAACTGTTATGAAAGTGTTTCCTATAGGAAGTTTGTCTTACACCAGCCATGTATTGATGCCTAAAGGAGGTAATTCAAATAGCTGCCAGTTTTCGCTGCTCTAGGTGACGCTGCTCTTGGTTATTCTAATGGTCTTTTATGTACTTCTGTGCTTAACTCGTGAAAGGACCAGATCAGCTGTTGCTGTGTGTACACACATACATGTACATACATAAGGGAAGTAAGATTTTTGTCCTCTAGTGGTTACCTCAGGTTTAAAAAACGATGCACATGAAAGCATACATGGAAAAGCAGGATGTTAAATGAATGTTAATAACAGGGATGTAACCTGTTGTGACCTGCAGGATAGAGAGCTCCTGCTGATGGAGGACTACCAAGGGTAGTGCAAAAAGCCTGTAAACATAAATATTTGATGAGAGTTGAAATGCAGTTGTACAGTAAAGAATGCTGGAAACATTTGTAGTGGCTGAAAGATCTTAATGTGATAATTCATTTGATGTAAGGGTAATGAGATGTGCATAAGGCTTTTGCTTTGTCGCTTGTTGACTGGGTTTCTTACTTTGTGTAATAGATGGCAACAGGAGAAAGCAACGTTATTTTGTATTTGAGATTTCTTTTTTTTTATTGTTCTGTCAACTTCTTTGCCTTTCGTCTGTCCTCCTACTTATTTCCTTCCCAGAAGTTTGTACAAGTTTAAACTTTTAATTTAAATTACAGTTCCCAGTGTTTTCAGTTAACATTATGTTACTATGAGTTGAATGATGACCACAGTCTTTTTAACATCCTACTCTAATATTTTCTTCTTGAAGGCTTTGATTGGAACCTGGTGTTCAAATGGGATTACATGACACCAGAGCAAAGAAGAGCACGGCAAGGAAATCCAGTAGCTCCCATAAAGTATGTCTGTACCGCCATTTCTTTCTCTAACAGCTTGTAGTTTTCAGCTAAAAAAAGTTAGAAATCATGTTCTCTGAGTCAGAGAGGGGATCTTTACTATAGCTTCTGTAATACTGACATTTCATTCAAATTTATGTAATGTTATGTGACTTTCAAAGTAATACTTAAAAAAATACTTTAAAACACATTGATAGACAATTTACTCTTGACAAAAACTAGAACCAAGACATAGTTGGTATGTCTTGAGGGCCAAAAATAGAGTATCAATTTTAAGGTTTTATTGCTGGCACAAATTGCCTCACTTTACATAAGGAACTTGTGAGCCAAATGGAAATTCAGGGACTACTTCAGAAGGTGGTCAGAACACCTTACATGCAATAGAAATGTGTGCAGACATTTGATGTGTTACATGCACAATTAGCATTTGAAAGCATTGCTTTTTTTTTTCTTTTTTCTTCCCAAGGATGTATTAACCTTGAGATGCAAATAATAGTTACCTCCCAGCTCGTGGTTCTGTATTTCATGTATTGTTTCTTGTCTTTTTAGGACACCCATGATAGCTGGTGGCTTGTTTGTGATGGACAAATCCTATTTTGAAGAACTAGGGAAGTATGACATGATGATGGATGTTTGGGGTGGAGAAAACTTGGGTATGTATATTATTTACTTTGGAATCAGTCTTGAAAGTAGGTTTTGTCATTGCCTTTATTGTCAGAGTTATGTTCTTCCTGATTTTGTGCAAAGAGGTTTAAAACCAGAGTTAGATCTTCACATGCAGTATTAGCAAAATCAAAAAAGTTTATTTTAATGGAGAAAAATAAAACAAGGTAGGAATTATGTGCTAAGTATGAAAGAATAAAAGTATTTGTTCATTAAGCAGTAATCTTTTCACTTTCATTTTTTTTTTAATGGAATTTGGCTGATAAAGAATTACTGAATGTAGATGGACAATTGCTTTCAAAATGGCAGTCTTGTTTTAATGTCACATCCTCATCTAAAGTTACTAATCATAGAATCATAGAATAGTTATTGTTGGAAAGGACCTTAAGATCATCTAGTTCCAATCTCTCTGCCATGGGCAGGGACACCTCACATTAAACCATGTCACCTAAGGCTCTGTCTAATCCAGCCTTGAACACCGCCAGGGATGGAGCATTCACAACTTCCTTGGGCAACCCATTCCAGTGCCTCACCACCCTTACAGTAAAGAACTTCATCCTTATATCTAATCTAAACTAATCTAAACTTCCCCTGTTTAAACCTGTTGCCCCTTGTCCTGTCACTACAGTCCCTAATGAAGAGTTCCTCCCCAGCTTCCTTATAGCTCCCCTTCAGGTACGGGAAGGCTGCTATGAGATCTCCACGCAGCCTTCTCTTCTCCAGGCTCAACAGCCCCAACTTTCTCAGCCTGTCTTCATACGGGAGGTGCTTCAGTCACCTGATCATTCTCGTGGCCCTCCTCTGGACTTGTTCCAACAGATCCATGTCCTTTTTATGTTGAGGACACCAGAACTGCACACAATACTCCAGGAGAGGTCTCACGAGAGCAGATTAGAGGGGCAGGATCCTGTTTAAATGCTGGCCATGTAAGGCATATTTTAAGATGTTGCTGAAATTAAATTGTGAACAGTAGAATGCAGGAGTTCATGAGTTTAATGTTCTTGCATATGTCTTAAAAAATCTATTAACACTTAGCTGACTGAAGAATAATTTATTTCTTAATAATATCATACTGCCTGGCATCTGAACTGAGTAATTCTGTATACCTGCTTTGGCCCTATGAGATAATTCTGGTTGAGAGGACATTTTTGCTCTAGTTCCTCATCTTCAGATGTTTCAGCGAGTTCTGTTTAGGGAAGAGGGAGGAATGGCTGCAAGAACTTGTATTTTAGCCATTTTTCTTTGACCTTGTGGTTAGATCTGTCTTTAGTAGCGGTTGCTTGGGGGTTTTTTATTTTCTGCATTACAGTATTAAACAAAGTTTTTCTCCGGTTAAGAATGGTATTACTTGTATTAAGATAAAAAATGTTTGAGAGGAGCAGAAGTCTACAACTTATTAAGACTTCCAGTCTATCATTAATTTAGTTTTCTAGGGTAGAAATGCATCTCAGACATTCGAAGTAGCGTGTTTTAGGATCAGCTCTAAGTATAGAAACTTTTCTACTGCACGTGCTAGCTGCAAAATACTAAAATACCTTCAACTTGTAAAAGCTCACGAGTATTTTGAGTTGCTGAAATATGCAGTGAGCATATGGGTGGCCTACCAGGAAATGCCTGCTGTAGAAAGTACGCTAAGTATGGAGGCGTGGTAACCAAATGCTTAACACTCCTTTAAGGAACTTCAAGCCTGGAATTGGCATCCTTGCAGTCCAGTCTCTAGCTTTTCTATGCAGTGTACCCGAAGAAACCTCTGACGTGTTTTGAGCAGTTACTTTCTTTTTCTCAGTGTTTTGGCTGTATGTTGTAAAATTGTATTAATATAAATATCATAATTTTTCATATTTTTTAATGTCCTGGGAAGTCATTGGATAAACTTACTACAGCAATACTTGTGCTCACTTTTTTGCCACTAGAGCACTTAAATATTTGATTAGCTGCAAGCATGTACTTGAGTGACTGAGTTTTTTCTGGAAATTTAGCAGCTGCTTTTATGCTTTGATAATTGAAGCCTTGATAGCAGGAAAGGGCACAAGCAACAGCTCCCCACTCAAGGTGAGAAGACTACATGCAAAAAGCTGTTACTGCTGCTCCTGCTGCATTCTGTTCACCCTCCTTCATTGGAAGGAGGAGATGGAGACTTTGGGGTGCCTTCTCTCTGCTCCTTGAAAAGGCAAAGTCAGTCAGTACAGCAGACAGCTAATGATTTCTTCATAGCTGCCAGACTAACTGATGACAAGTAAAAATCACATGGCATATGATTTAATTGGCAATAAATGACACATGCACCAGATACCAGAAATCTGTGATGTGCAGTTTAAAATTCAACATACGCACTCATCAGGCCTCTTTACTCTCAAGCATATCTCTGTGTCAACAACTTCATGTTATATGCAGATAACCTGATAGAGGGACTTGAAAAGTAATTCTGTATGTTATTTTTATGCTTTATAAAACACAGCATTTTTCTTTCAAGCATGTGCAGAGCAGCTGGTCTGTGAGATTTTGTTCACGTTAGTATAATGTCAACTTTACAAGTTTCAAGGTGGACCTGCAGTGTTTTGTCTGAATTAGTGAGGAGAGAGCTTTTGCCACGAAGACCCAGTTTTCAGATTATTGCTAGATGTGACTGATACCATGTTTGCTGTACAAAACATGGATCAAAGTTTGTTCAGTCATGTCTTGAATTTGTAAACTCTAATTCTTAGACTCTTTACAATGCTTTTTGGTAAGCGTAGGAGAATTGGAGTGCACTGGAGAACTGGGTGGACTATTAGAAGGCTTGGGTCTAATTTGAAAACTTAGGCTTTTCTTAATTTTGCTTAAATCAGGAAGTGAGTAAGACATTCCCTGTCTTGTGTATCAATGACACACTACAATAAAATGAGCAGTCTGTTACTGAGAGGTCTCACGCTGTCTCATGCAACTGATGAATGTTTGACATGCTGTTTTATGCCTTTTTAATGAAAAACTGGGTCCACTGAAATTGTTACAATAGTAACACTTCTCCCACTGTTTGAGTATGGCAAAAAACATGTCTTAAAGGAGTTTCTGGGTTTTCCTGAAGTTGTAGTTGCTGTACATTACTACTTCTTTAAAAGGCTTTAGAATCCATGTTGGTGCAAGTAAAAATTAGTTTGCTTCTCTCTACTTAGTATTCCTTTGTTGTCTTTCCTGTAGAACTATTTTTCATCATTTTCAGTTTTATTTTGGGGATTTTTCAGAACCTAAGGTGTGAAAAATATACATGTAGGTTGATATTTCTGGGAGTTCATGGGGGGGAGAATTAATCAAATTAACATACACAGTAGAAGCAGCTATGCCTAATGAAAAATTGATGAAAGCTATTTCTGAATTACTTCTAAAACAAAACTACTTTTTCAATGCCTAAATACGCTCAGTAGGTGATAGTGACTCTGGATTAAACCTTCAAATGAATCACTTAAAAAAGAGCGAGCTTTAGGCATACCGCATTGACCTTTATTTTTAACAAGAATCTCACTTTACCTCATTTCAAAGGTGTGTATATAATAATATATATAGTATAATTATATATAATAATATTTAGATTAGCCCAGTACTAGATTTCAAGCATTTAGTCCGTATTTGCTTTTCTAATGCAAAACCCTTTGTTTTTGAGATCTCCCTGTCTTCTTTCACTAGGCTGTCCTCACCGAGTGCAGCTTCCCATCATGTTGGGCTAATAACTGTATGAACTGTCTAGCAAAAGTCCCTAAATAATACTTCAAAGTGTAACAAGAAAACTGTTACTCCTCTGCTTTCGCAATTTGAGCAGTATGGGACAAAATGAGCTAGATATGGGGAAGCCTGCGGTCATCTATGTATGCATAGAAAAACCTGAAGTCATTACTGTGAAAAATGTACAGAGAGAATGTCATGTTCGGTTGTTTTAAAAATTACTTTTCCCTCTTGTCCCACGTTCATCCAAGACCGTGAGTTAGTGGCAAAGGCAGTATTGCCATGAATATTTTTGGAGGATGATCTGTCTATAGATTGGACTATGTTGACTCTCTGAGGTTCATGAGTATGCCTCATTGATCCTGATGCAATAGTATTTCACTGAAGTCAAACAAAATAGGAAATGGTCCTTATAAAACCAAAGGCCACGGGGAAGAAGGGCAGTTAACTTGCACCATCAACAGCTGAAATCACAGCACCTCTCTCTTTGTTTCTGGGGGTTTGTGTTTTGGTTGGGTTTTTTGGGGGCGATTTTTTGGTTGTTGTTTTTTGTTTTTTAAAATGATTATTCTTTTTCTCTGGACGGACAGTCCCGAAGCCATGCTCTCTAACCTTGGGGGTGGTTTTGGTGTTTGGGCTGGGTATTTTCTGAATTTAATTTTTGAAGTAATGAGATTTTTATGACTTGTGTATTTGGGAAGAAGGCTTCTGAGGGAAGAAATGATACTTAGTATGACAGTATAAGTCATCAAAGGTAGACACTGACTTTAGAGCTGCGTTATTTATATGCTTATCCATGTTTAAGCTGTGAAAACATAATGAATTATCGTAAAGAGCCTTGAAACAAAACGTAGCACTCAAAAAGAGAAAGGTGTATAAATATATCTACACCACCTTGTCCTCACTAGCTGGGACAGCTCACTGGATTGGCTTAGAAGTGTACTGCCCATAACCTTCAGTTTACAGAAGCTGCATCTTTGTTTGCTCTGTCTCCAAAGCAAGTTTGATTTGATGTAACTCCTTCCATAGAAGGTGTTTGGGGGTGTATGGTTATCTTCTATAATATGCTTGCAGCTCTAATCTATTGAGTGTTTTATATTTGTGTTTGTTGTGTTTGATTTTGTCTATTGTGTTATTCCATCTTTAGCTGAAAATTTTTATTATAAGCTAGATTGTTAATTTATCTGCTGTTGTGTACCCTTTAGACAAAGTGTAGTATTAGTACATACAGACAGAACTTACTCTGGCCAATTGCAGCATGGGTTTTGAATTTGGAGACTGCTGCTAACCTCTGATTTTGCTTCCCAGTTAACAGGATTGTTTCTCCTGAGCTTGGAGAACAATGAACACTCAGATATGCTGTTGTTTATCCTAGAATTTCTCAGAAAACTATGTAACTGATTTTCTCAGCAATAATCACTAAAAGCCTTATCTGTAAATGGTATACTTCAAAATTACAGTATTTGGTGATGTTGGTCTTCCATTCATGTTTTTATTTCAGAAATCTCGTTCAGAGTTTGGCAGTGTGGTGGAAGCCTAGAAATCATCCCTTGCAGCAGAGTGGGTCACGTATTCCGCAAACAGCATCCTTACACATTTCCTGGTGGGAGTGGTACTGTGTTTGCAAGGTAACTGTTAAGGTCCTTTTCAGCTAAATAGTAATGTTTTAGATTTCTTCAGGTGATCAGCAGGTGGCAGTAATTTCATTTTAAGGATCTTTTCTTTATAAACATTTGCAGTATTATCTAGCACGGAAAAATACTAACTTAAAAAAAGTTACTTTGAGGCAGCTACACAGAGAGAAGAACAGGAGAGTTATAAAAGGGAAACTTCTAATAGCCTGAGAATCTGGAAAGGAAGAAATGCTTATATTGGCATTCTAGCACTTTTGAGAAGTTTGTATTTTACTTAGTTCTGAAAATACAGTGTTCTTTAAAACCGTCTTATAAATCTCAGTTTTATAAAAACAGTTGCATCATTCACTAGGAGCCAGAATACACTAAGTCATGAGTAAGCTTTGCTTGCTTTTTGTTAATACATGATCAGTATGTCATGTGCAAATGACTGTGTAGACTGATTATGGCATTTGTGCCAGTCTGTTGGCAACTTCATTCTATTATCATGTTTGCCTTTCCTGTGCTATTTCTATAGACCTAAGAAACTGCAGTATTAAGAGCTTAGATTGATATGCTTGTTAATTTTGCCATTGATAGAATATACAATAGAAGCTGAAATACTGAGCTACTTCCTCAGTTTTGACTCTACAGAATGGGAACAGCAATTCTGATTCATTTTCCTAGTGTTTTCTAAGTAATGTGCGTGAAGGTACTGTGTCAGTGTATGGTGAACATTCTGAACAAGGCTCTACCAGTTGCAGAGAAGAATCACTGTAGGTTTTGGTTTAGAGAATGGGACTTGATGCTCAGGGGACCAAAGAAGTGCAAGTCTCACCTAAAGATTCTGTATGTTAGGAGCTGGAGCTAAAATTGTTCACTTATCCTTGAAGGGGTATGGAGCCCAGACTCTACTTAACATGAAGCAACACAAAACATAGATGTGTTTAAATTCATAAGAATTTAAAAGCTGCTGATATATTTAGACTCATGTTTCACCTTAGATTGAGGAACCTCTTTATAGTGTAATTCTTCTCTTCCTGCCAAGATGACTCTAATGAATTTAATAGTTTGCTAAAATAAAGTCATTGCCCTGTTTCTTCCAGTAGTTACAGAGGGGATTTTTGTGGTCCCTTATTCTTTGGGATCTGTATTTTATGCTGTGGTGAAAAATGAATAATAGTACTTATGGGAAAATGAAAACTAGCAATGAAGTACCCTCTCTAAATACATCTCTATTCCAGTATTTATAGTGTGTATCAGGAGGGTAGAAAGATCTGCCAAGTAAACTGTATTTCACAGGCTTAGGATGCAACTCAATTTCATGGTAGGTTTTAAAATTATGATGTCATAGCAATATGTTATAAAAATAAATAAATTTTCCCATTTTCCTATTTCTCTGCAGTTTTTCCATCTGGGCTGTTGTCAAGATGCTGTTTTTCTTGTGCTATAACTAGGTACTTAAACATAGCTCAGCTGAAAAGTAGGGTAAAAGTGTGTCTATATGCATGCAAGGGTACAGCAGACATCAGAAATGCGTCTTACTAGCAAGGTTTAAAAATGCTGCATTTCTACTTTGTTTAAAGCCTTTGGCTATTGTTGCAAAATCAAATCTTCATTGTGATTTGATCACTCAAATGTACTGACAGTTGCTATGATAGGGTTTTTTAAAGTCACATTGTGTTTTAGCTGTTTGTGTTCAAAGTGACTTTGAAAAGAGATCTTCTGTGTACTTGAATGGTGAGGCTAGCTGCCGCCTGCCAACTAGTGTCTTGGGTACTTCAATCCCTTTCCAGATCTACCTGTGTCCCCAGCTGTCCAGCTGTTTCAAATTCTGAAATGCCATTAAAATTATTTATTTCATTAAAACTATTTTTTAATTCACCTAGAAAGCTGCATATCACTCAAAAGCAGGGTTGGCAAGTTGCCGTGTATTTGAAGACTTTCTCCTCAGTCAGCTTTCTTGGGTGTCAAACTAAGGTAATAGAATGAGTTAAAATCAGTTTCAGCAATGAGAGAATGAGAAACCTAAGGTAATGGGATATCCCTGTAGTGCAGGTATTATCATGTGTAGGACCATGGTGCCAAGAAACTCGGTGCATGAAATGTGTGCTGATCTTGTAGCTGGGACTTTTTAGCTTATACCAGCATCTGTCCCTTGACTGTATGCAGTTTCTTCTGAAGTGGGTAAGCATCCTGTTTTTAGCTGACGAGTCAGTATGTGCTGCCTTATCTGTTGCCTTAGCCAAAACAAATTGGTGACTCTGGATGAGAGACTGGGAGCCCGGTTTCACTGACCGTGCCTCACAGACAGGATGTGGGCAGATACAGCTTACGTCTGGCAGGATTTTAGACTAGTATGTACCGCCTTAATATACCACTTCAGGAGAGCAAATAAAGCTTGCAGTTACCAGTCTGCTCCAAGGAGCGCTTCTCTGATCGTTCAGTGCAGGGTTTACTTAACTGAGGCTTGGCATTAAGCACTGAGTGTACCCTACCCTGTGTTACTCAGTACCCTGCCTTCTTTGGGCCTTACTACTTCAGGCAGTTCTCAGCATTTACACAGTTACTGTTCTCCTGTTGTATTAAGGTGGAACTGTTCATCCCTGAGTATGGGGAAGCATGATGCAGACAGACATTCTGGCCTTGAAAGTGCCTTTGGAGTCATTAAACCCTGGCAAACTGAATAGTGCCTCTCCCACTGCCAAAGTCTGGCCCATGGACAGGCAGCAGGGGCAGGTGTTGCATGGTTAGCTGACACTCACGCAGGCCTGAGAGACTGCAAGTGAAAGCAAAATGAAATAGCTCTCTAATCTGGATTGAATGGGGTTTTTCATACAAAAAAAAATGAAATTTTCAAGGAAAAATCAGTCCTCAAACAAAAGATGGTTGAGGTCTGTCTTGTGACTCTTTTCTTCAGTAACCTGCAAGAACAACTCACTTTATCCTGACTACTTTGTCTTTTGAATTGGAAAATCATATTGAAGAAGTTGTTGGCTGACTGAGTTTACTGCAGTCGCTTTGGATGAACTTACTGCCAAATGTAAAATAAGCTTGAGAGCATTGCAGTTACAAGTGAAATAAGGCTTAATTTTCTAAGCATAAAAATACGAACAATAGAAGTAAATGAGTTTTACATGGAAAGGAAAAAGGCATTACCCTCTTGCAGTCCAAAAGGAGATTTAAACACATCAGTCACACAAGTCTAGGAATTTTTAGAGATATGTTTGATTGGAAATAAAGCCCTTGGGTTAGTGGTTTTTACATTTACTGCAATAATTAATCTCCCTTGAATTTTAAAGCATTAAACATATTTTCTAATTACTGGTTCTTCTCTATTACCTCAGCTACAGCAGACTTCCTTGGTTCGTAGCCTTAAATGTCATGATAGCTTATGTCTTTTGGAACTTTGAGTACTCTGCTGGTAGGAATAGAAAAAGGCTGAACATTTCTTGCCTACGTTAGCGTATCTGCTAACATATATATATGTTAGCATAAAAAGCATTATTAAATATTGCCAATTGCTGAGATTTTAGCTTCCAATTAGGTTGCTTATCCAGGTGAACACCCACTGAATTTGGCTTTTGTCAAGTTACTCTTACAAAAGGAAAAAACCCAAAACCCCACAAACCAAATAACAACCTAACAACTTCCATGCAATTTGCCGAAAGAATACCAAGATGTTTCTTAAATTCTGAATGGAAACCTGAAGCAGTGATGAGTGTGAAAAAGGCATAAATTTGATTCTAAATATATTGGTTTCAGTTATGTTACTGTCTAACATACTGTCTTAGGAGAGATTAAAGTCAACCCAAGGGCAAACGATGTGGTTTGATTGCAGCTAGAGAAAATATAACCTCTGTGTTTCGTATGGTTGTCCCTAGAAATACACGCAGGGCAGCAGAAGTCTGGATGGATGAGTACAAAAATTTCTATTACGCAGCAGTGCCTTCAGCCAGGAATGTACCTTATGGCAAGTAAGTCACAAGTGCTTCTTTGCCTTATTAATTTATCCTTTGTGAGATAGCACATTCTGAGGTGAATGCAGCGGTAGCTCTTGTGTTCTCTCTTGAAGATACAGTTCTCCACCTCTACTGTTTTTGAATTTTCTGTGTATTCCTTAACGTGTATGGAGACAGCAGCCTGACTTTAAAAACTGCTCCTTTTTTTCAACCCCCTCTAGTATTCAAAGCCGTATGGAACTTAGAAAGAGACTTAGCTGCAAACCCTTCAAGTGGTATCTTGAAAATGTTTATCCTGAGTTACGGTGAGTTTGGGCTGAATTGAAGGTAATATGGAGTGCTCTCTTTTTTTATTTCTTCCCCTCCTCAGATATCATCAGTTCCTCTTTCTCTATCCTTGAATGTGAAGCATGTTTTTTAATTTATTTGTGAAAGCAGTACTTTGTGTGGACTTATTTGCTTCTGGGTTTTATTAGTTCTATTTCTAAAGAGCCATTTCCCCCTAGTAAGCTGCTTTTTCTACTTACTGCAACTACAGCTGCAGTAGCAGGTGTTTTAGAGAACAGTATCCAAAGGACTCAATTTATCTGAGCCTGAAGTTAGTCTCCTACAAAAGCTGCTTACTCAGAAGTACACTGTTCTGTATCCTGTTGTTGTCCCTTTAAAGCTTTAGTCTTTGCCTAAGCACATGCCTAGTTGAGTGAAGACACTGAATCTCAGTATAGTACAAGTAAAGGGAGTCAGCAGATGAGGGCCTTGTATGTTTAGCAGACAAGGATAGCTGCCAAAGACTCTAAAAATCTCCGTCTTCTGCTCTTTCTGTCTCTTGTTCTCTGTCACTGGATAATCATTAACCGGGGGGAGTGGAGGGACGTTGGGGAAGGAAGAGAGAAATGAAGGATAACACTGCTAACAGTTTCTGTAACATGAATGCATCCTAACTAATGAAAAATCCTTGAAGAAAAATACTTTTTGAAATTATAAAAAGGGTTTTGTTCAATAACTGTTTAATAAGTCAGATATGAGACTATAAACTAGTTTGTCTGCTGTCAACCTGATACTGGTACTGTAACAGTAAAACACTGTGTGGCTTATAAGAATGCTTCTTGGTTTGGTTTTTTCCTGGGGGCATTTCATGTCAGTACAGTCAGGTAACTACTAGTGCCATACAGGCTTGGAATGCAAGAGCACCAGCCATTACAGCCCTAGTGAAACATGTACAAAACCACGTAAACTGAAGAGTCTCATAAACCAGGATGATGCTGAAGAAGTTATTCTTTATTGTCTCTTAAAAGTGCCAGAGGATATTTATTTTTGTTTTATTTGTCAGAAAAAATACATCTTGCAAGCACTCATGGAAAATGTGCTACCATAAGCATTACTTAAGTATAATGTCATCTTACTGTGTCATCTCTCATGTGCTCGTTCTGCTGAGTTGAATTATTATACTCATTTTATAGTCTGAAGTTTTAAAAGGAACTAATACGCCCTTGCTTTACTGTTTGACATGAACTCATAGGCTCTACCTCACAGCTATACTTTGTTGAACAGGCTTACCTATGTATTTCCATACTATATGAGTTTTATGTGCAGTCATTAGAAAATAGGTATCAGCAAAATATTGATGGGTTTTGATTTTGTTTTCTTTTAAATTTCTAATCCCTTTTCCAATGCTTCAGTAAAAACAGTATGGGGAAAAATGTAGAATGTTGTTATTCTGCCACAAGCTAGTTTGGCTGAAAAAGGCCAAGAGAGCTTGATACCTTAACTGATAGCATTCAGCTTCAGCCATCTTAAATGATCATCTTTAAATAATCTTTAATTTGCCTTTTATGCTGAGTTTGTGTGCTCATAGAATCACAGAATGGTTTGAGTTGGAAAGGACCTTAAGATCATGTAGTTCCAAACCCCACCCCTGCGATGGGCAGGAACACCTTCCACTCCTCATTCTCTGGTACAGGTCTTTTTGTATTCTGTCCTAAGCTTGCAAGTTTACTTATATTTCATCTGTTCATGACCAGATAATTGCCTTCCCACCTCAGAAGATTGGGATTTTCAGATGGTAGTCATCATGTATCTTGAACCTGTTGTCTTAAAATACTCCAAGTAAAGACAAGGAGTTAAAAAAATTAAAAATAGATCAAAGAAATGGAATTAAGCAGATATTTCTGGTTTTATTTTAGGGTACCTGATCATCAAGATATAGCTTTTGGGGCTTTGCAACAGGGTACCAACTGCCTTGACACTTTGGGCCACTTTGCAGATGGTGTTGTCGGAGTTTATGAATGTCATAATGCCGGGGGAAACCAGGTCTGTATGCCTTTAGTTTTTATTCGTTTTCATAGTATGTGACTTTTTTTTCTTCATAAAAAAATAAAGTGAAACTTGTTAAGCAAGTTCAGTGTATTGGTGATGGGAAGATAAGTCTGGATCAGCTATTGTAAGAGATTAGTATCTCTAACATAAGAGACTAATATCTAATATAAGAGATTAATATCTGTTATTATAAGAGATTAATATTTCCACATCAGTTATTATAAGAGATTGGCTAAATAACTCCTCTCTCAGGTATAATTGTACATATTACAGAATCATAGAATCATAGAATAGTTAGGGTTGGAAAGGACCTTAAGATCATCAAGTTCCAACCCCCCTGCCATGGGCAGGGACACCTTGCCCTAAACCATATTACCCAAGGCCTCGTCCAACCTAGCCTTGAATACTGCCAGGGATGGAGCATTCTCAACCTCCCTGGACAACCTATTCCAGTGCCTCACTACCCTAACAGGAAAGAATTTCCTCCTTATATCCAATCTAAACTTCCCCTGTTTAAGTTTTAACCCATTACCCCTTGTCCTACCACTAATGAAGAGTCCATCCCCAGCAGCCTTCTCCAGGCTGAACAGCCCCAACTTTCTCAGCCTATCTTCATATGGGAGGTGCTCCAGTCCCCTGATCATTCTCGTGGCCCTCCTCTGGACTTGTTCCAACAGATCCATGTCCTTTTTATGTTGAGGACATCAGAACTGCACACAACACTCCAAGTGAGGTCTCACGAGAGCAGAGTAGAGGGGCAGGATCACCTCCTTCGACCTGCTGGTCACGCTCCTTTTGATGCAGCCCAGGATATTCAGGATTAGAATGTGAGTCCAGAGATTCATTCAGTGTGCATTGAGATTATTCCCTTCTTTTGTCTCTATTAATATTTGCTTTTACACTAGAGGCCAGTTACTTCTTTCCCAGGAGTTTTGTACTTGCAGGGAAAGCTTTTTTTCAATAAATCGATGTGTTTTATGGGGGGGTGGGGGGGTGGGGGGGGTGGAATTTTTGCTTAAGGAAAGATTTGGGTTGTATTAAGCATATGGCCTAAGGTCAGAAAAGTAGAAGAATGCTTTACTGTGATAACCTACTACTCATTTCTAATTTTCAGTAGCAGGCTATAAAAAAATCTGTCTTAAGTCCCCATTTGGCTCTTCTAGAAAACAGAGTTGCCTAAATGTCATATCCAGTTCACTCACAGTAAAGGGAGCATTTCAGCAAATCCTTTCTAATCCCACTCTTAAACTAACCCCAAATGTGTCAAATCTGTAAATGAGAGCATTAATTATTTTAAAGAATCTTATTTATACAGTTGTGACTTTGTTGTTGTTCTTGAAATATATATATATGTGTGATCACTATTTTCCGTGCTGCTTTGTCACTGAATTCTTTTCAGAATCAACCTGACTATAAATCAAATGCAAAATTAATACTTCAAGTACACCCATTAAGATAGAAGGTTCACCACTTACAAATTTGCTGTTGAATGAGTATCAGAATTTTGCTCACTCTGATTTAAATTAGAAGGGGAAAATCCTAAAATCAAACAAAGGCTAAAATAAAGAACTTATTTCCTGGAAGATAAATCATGGTGATTTGAATGCATTGCCATCATGGAATAGTTGGGGTTGGAAAGGACCTTAAGATTATATACCTGAAGTATGCTTATTTTCCTTATCATTGAAGAGAATATATCTGGGGAGGCTTTTTCTGTTACCCTTATGAAAGTACATGCATCTTCTCAGAATGCCGCAGTGGTTTTTAGAAGGGGTGTACATGGCAGAATTGCCTTGGTGCAGACTTCTTGAGAGTTTCTGATGATGTTTTTGTGATCTCTATAGATATACAAAGTTAGCTTCCTCTTTCAAACTCACTTCCCCTGAATCTGACCGTATCTTCTGTGTGGTTTCTTCTGTGAAGCTGATCTTGCCAAAGCAATATGCATTTGCTTTGAATAGGCTCCTGTTCAGAGACATTCAGGCGGATTAAGAGCAGAACAGCTTAAAACCAGGTTTTGTGTCCAAGCAGAATTCATATTGGATTGGAGGGAATGTTCTTGCAGACTTCTGATGGAAGTGTAAAGATGTATAAACCTCTTCAAGGCTTCCACTGCCTCTGACTACAAGGCTTTCAAGTAAAAATTTTAACCACTTCCCTCGGAGTATTTTCAGTTGTCGCTATTCAGTATAAGTCTTATAAAGGGGCCTTCTGTTTCAGAGGCATTTGTGATTCCTGGTAAGCTTTGAAAATAGCTTGCTTAATTCTTTAAGTTGTTAAACATGGCTATTAATGATTCTTGTTGACATCTTACAAACTGGGCAGAACTGAGAAGCCAAGTAATTTTGTTGTCATCTGGGATTACCATATTGAGAGTGAAAAGTTTTCAGTTTAAGGGTTTGGGAGACAAAGGGATACAGAGTGTTCCTGCCTTTGCTTTGTTTTGCATTGCTATGATTATTCTAGTACTTGCATACTATAGTACCTGTGCAGTGGTGATTACTTGTAGTCCTGTGGGTTAGAAGTTTGATTGTTTCCTGAGCATCTGTTCTCAGAAGAATTCAATAGCTATTGAATTTCCTGATTTTAAATGGGACTATGGAAGCCAAAAATCTGGTTATGGTATCAGAAAATAAGTTAAAAAATGGAATTGGATTTGTCAATTTATTTCTGAAACACTGATTGCTTGCAAAATAACACTTAAATGTAGCCAGGCTTGACCCTGTGTGTCTAGGGTTTTGTATTCTGCAACTCCTCTTTAGTTTTTTGGAGAAAAAACTACTTTTCAAGTAGTAATGAGCATGATTTGGGTAATCAGCTTGGGTTTAGTTGACAGATCAGTTTCTTTTCTCCAAAGGATAATGACACCAATAAAGACCAGTCTAGATCCTGGAGACCAAACTTTGGGGAGAAAAGACATGGAGAGAGTCTGAACACCAGCACAAGACCAGGCCTTGTGCAGAAGGATGCTGTGATCAAGCAAGCTGGGCAGCAGTACATACAGAACAGCTTTCTATGCTTTAGATTAAAAGCTGCATATTTAAATGCATGTAGAGGAAATTCTATTGTACATCAAGCCTTTATGACAGTCTCCCTCTACCCTTGAGTTTGGCAGTCCTGTGTATTGCTTTCTGGTGGTCTCTGTCATATTAAGAACTGCTTCCTCACTGTGCTACCCGTTATGCATAGTTCAGTGCATGGGAAGGGTGGCCAGCAATGCTGAAGACCAAGCTTTTAGGGTTTTTACATATATATACACACACACATATATATAATATTATATATTTTTAACATATATGTAAATCTGTCGTACATGGAAGATATGGGAGGGTGTAATACATGCACAGGGAGAGAGGAATGATATAGCTGGAAAAATACTCGGACAAATACTTTAAACCTGAGGACCAGTGTGACTGCCTGCTATACTCGTGCAAAGCCAGCAGAGGGAGCAAAGAGCCAGCCTTGAGCTTGACACTGAAGCAGTGACTATTCACTGTGTCTGAAAAGGAACTTTTTTCCTCTCCTGTTCTATGGGAATCAATGAACTATTCTAATATTCATACGTAGCTATTTACAGAATTTTATCTGTGCTACATATGCAGAGACAGCATGTGTGCCTTGTGCATGTGTTAGTGTATATAATTTTGTACACTTTTTCTTCCTTTTTCTAGGAATGGGCCTTAACAAAGGACAAGTCGGTGAAACATATGGATTTGTGCCTTACTGTCGTGGACAGAGCACCTGGTTCACTAATAAAACTTCAGGGCTGCAGGGAAAATGACAGCAGACAGGTTAGTATGTTGTGAATGCACTCTGCAAACAGTGGGGAAGACAAGGGCTTCCTTGAATGAGATGCAAGAACAAGCAGTGGTAATCATATCTCTGTTGGTTCTGTTCTTCACTCTGTCTTGCTACTGGTTGTGTAAAGTTAGGATGTGTGGGCAGAGCAGCAGGAATAAGCTTGTGTACTGAGCATTTCTTTTCATAGGCCAGTGCAATCTTCTATGAACATGAAGAGGTTATTCAAACAGTGGTCTTTGTAAAGGTTTCACCCAACAGCACTGATGTGTAGCAGTCTTCATCTGCCACATCTGATTGTGGAATACATATTCTATTTCAGAAATGTATTCTTGAAAGGTCTTACTCAGTGAAGTTTGAAGATTAAGTCATCTGTGTCTTAGAAGAGTGTGGTTTGTCTTTCTTCTTTTCACATGTGACCTGTTTATAACAGCACCTGACTTCTTCAGTTTGTTTTCATTAATGCAGCATTCCAACTTCATCTGTTTCCCATGCCTGAGGAAAATTACAGTTGCAGTCATACCATCTTTTTGATCTAGTCACATAACAATTCGTCTCTTTCTGCTAAGTCATCAGTTCTGATCATCTGCCAGCTTTCTTCTGTGTCTTCAGTTCTGCAGACTGATAACAAAAATGCTATTCCTTGCTGAAGGAAGAATATTCTTGCCACCTTCCAGAAAAGGAAACTAAGGAAACAAGATATTTTTTATAAGGTTTAAGGGGACAATGTTGGAAATATAGAAGAAAAGGGTTTTTTAAAATATTTTTAATTATTTATAACATTCTATATTTGTGATTTACTCTGTACTTGACATCACCTTGAACAAAGAGCTTCTAAAAGCACAGATTGACTGGTTGCCTTCTATGTAATTGAAAGGTGTCTGACAGACTTACATAAAGTTGTCTTCAGTGATTGTGTTTCTTGCTTCTTTCTATGTTTAGAATTGCAGTGTTAGGTGGATGGGTTTTGTGCCTTTTTTTTTTTCCCTTTAGATCAAAGGTTTCACACAGGTAACACAATTGTGTGCATTTTGTATCTATTGCAGCATGTTACCTGAATAAGCACTTGTTTTGTCAAGGCTTGCCATAAATCGTATGCTCTTATTCAAGGATCACTGAAATTGTGTACTATTACTGAAGTCTTCATGGCTTTCCAAAGCACAAGCCAAGGAAGCTTATGAAGACTTCAAAGGACAGGACGTCGAACTCATCCTTTTCCTGCTTTTCTAGCTCAGTAACTGTTGGTTTGTTTCTTTTCCTCTTTCAGAAATGGGAACAAATTGAAAGCAACTCTAAACTGAGGCACGTTGGCAGCAACCTCTGTCTAGACAGCCGAAATGCCAAAAATGGTGGTCTCACCGTTGAGATCTGCAGTCCTTCTTTGTCACAACAGTGGAAATTCACACTCAATCTGCAGCAGTAGAAAGACTTAAAGCAAAATGCTGTTTCGATTCAGAGACATTGGGCAAAGTTTTGATTGAATTACTGATGTATTTCTTAAAACTTTCCACGGAACTTATATACCTCAGTATTCCACCTTTATCTGAAAATAGGAGAGTGCTGAAGCAGACAGCAGGGATCCAGGGGACTTGGAGCACTGCAAAAGTGTCACTGAACATGACTGCAGCACAGTTCCTTCTTGGTGTGAAGACTTCAACGGTTCCTTTCTGTCTTCAGTTACACACTTGCACAGCAGATAATTAACTCTAGGAACAACTGATGTATGATAAAAAAGGATCTGAAGAAACACCTGCGGGGAACAGGGTGTGGGAGGGAGGGAGGGTGGGAACAACTGCTAGGAGAAGGTCATTTGAAAACTCCATTTGCATAGAAACCACGGTTTGTTGTTTCCGGAAACAGAAGTGTCATTTTGAAGGCTTTTTTTTTTTTCTCCTGTGTGTACTTGGTAATTTGAATATGAACTTTTCTATGATGGACTCTAAATATAAATATATAAAAGTATATATATTGTCAGCTCCCAACGGTTTATATCAGTTTTCATCATCCTATAATTATCAACAAAGTGATAGACGTATGTATAAACAGAAATTGGATTGGAATGCTAGGAGAGTGAAAGTTTATGAAGGTGCGGATTTTGTGCTGCTGAGTATGATGTCCGTGCTAACACTGGATGCTTTTGCTTTGCAAACTGGATCTACTTCTTAACACTTCGCCCTCACTGGAGATCATGAAACTCAGGAGGAGAAAGAAAATAGCAGAATAAGCCAATGCATCTGCACAGATGATTGCTCTGATTGCTTATTCCAACTTGGAAATTCATTACATGTGCTCTTGGTAACCTTAAACTTGGACTTGATATTTGTGTTGATAATTTCTGTAGTACTTTGTCTTTAAAATACTTCTTCTTTCGTTACAAAACGGTATAAACGGTGCAGATCTTTAGTGCAGCCATGTGGGTTCAGCACAGTTTTGTTCTGGCCCTAATGAGAAAAATTAGTCTCAGACTCCCCTTCTGAGTTGTCGAAATAAGATGCAATAGTAACGTCACTGTCGACAGCACAAGACCTGAATTTCAACTTGCAAGGATGAGCAGCTATGTAATATCTCTGAACTGCACTTGCTTAATTTATAGACTTACTACTGGGAAATTTTCTTCCATTTTGTTTCTTTAAATGGAGCTTTTGAAGGGATTCAGGCTTGGCTCTGGGAATCGGCCTGGATACCAGCAGATCCTATGTGTTTTAACCATAGAACCCATGCGTTTTGCAGCTTCAGTCCAGCTGATGTCATTTTTATATTAAAGTAATACTGTCAAAGTTAACCGCAGCTTTGACCTGTCCTTTCTTATGTTTGCATAGACTATATACTTTTCTATTGAAAGCAAATGCTTCAATGAGCTTTTAAAAGGAAAAGCAAAGGTAAATAAATACTAATAACTGAGACAGCAGTGACAAAGATTAGGGTAGACATGCAGTGTCAGGAAGTGGTTTGGATGAGATGGTGGATCTCGGAAAAATGTAAGGGTTGGCCATAGGGAAACCTGCTGTACTGCAGTGTGCTGGTACACTTCCCCTCTGTCTTTGTTCCAGGAAGTAGAGCAGTTCCTGATTTCTATTTTATTTTATTTTATCATTTTATTTTACTTTTTTTATTTTTATTTCCGGTTTCCTTTGGCTGCATCTCTACATTAGGTGTAGAGGTGGAACTCTGCTGGGCAAAATGGCTTTAGCTGTGCCAGCCAATGTGCCCATTTGTGTGTCTGAAGTTACGATTGCAAGTACCTGTATACCACCTGCATACCTTTTTGATGGGGCACTCAACCCAGTTTCTCCCATCATCATCTGACTTTATGAATAACTAATACCTTGGGTTTTCCCCCGCTTCTTCACAATCCACTGACTCCAAAACTTGCCTGTTTTAGAGGCCATGCAGTGGGTAAACTATTGTTCAGCTTTTAGTGTCTACCTCTCTGTAGCCTCTTAATATAGCTGAGTGCTTGAAGAACATGATTCATAAACATAGCAGTGGATTTCTTCATATTATGGAAAAAGAAATGCTGAAATATGGGCTCAGCAGCAAGTCAGTTGTTTGAGGTTCTAAAAAACAAAATTGAAAGGAAGAAAAAAACCCCAAACACTCAGCTTCTATCATGGAAGTGTTTCCATTTGCAACTTTGATCACAGTAAGAGTAGTACTAACTGAAACCAGCAGCCGCATCTCTGAATATTGACCTGCCTCTTACCTCTGAATCAGAAGTACTAGTAAAAAATTCATGTTCCACCTCTTAAGTCTTTCATGTCAACCGTTCCCATATAAAGTAGGAGTATTTCCACTAATTCCCCATGGATGCTGTGCATGGGGTTTTAATATAGGGCCTGTATGTTGCCTTTGTTTGGGAGAACGGACAAGAAGCTGTATCCTTTTGTTATGTTTACATGACAGTGTGCCAAAGTTACTTACTGTGATTTTAGAGGGGTTTCATGTTGAAGAAATTCGCCCATTTGAAAGATAAATGAAAAGCCCTTGAAGCAAATTGTGATGGAGTCTCCTGAGAACTTTTCTTACCGTCTTCAGAGCAAGAATGGTGATACTGTTTGTTTTGCAGATTTTCAAAACATAGTTTGGAAATGGTTTTTTCAGTTGGTTTGAAAAGTCTGCTGTACAGAGCTTGTACTTTGTTCATTTTATAGATGGAAACCATCCTTGAAAAATTGTTTAACTTAAATAAAAAAGAATGCTTTATAGATAAGTGTGTGGTGGTTAATATAAGTGAGTGAAACCCGGAAGTGTGCCTGGAGCTTATAGATTGAAGTAGTTTTCAAATGCTTCAGTTCACTCTGTTGTTTCATAAAGTTCCTGTTTTAAAAGTATGTGTTTCTGGGTGTATATTTGCATTTATGAAAAGCAAGTTTCTGTTTTCATAGAGGTTGGAAGGGACCTTAAAGCTCATCCAGTTCCAACCCCTCTGCCATGGCCAGGGCCACCTTCCACTAAACCAGATTGCTCCTGGCCTTGAACACTGCCAGGGATGGGGCAGCCACAGCTTCTCTGGGCACCCTGTACCAGGGCCTCACCACCCTTAGGGTGAAGAGCACATCTTACTAGAATATTAGGATAGCTCCTCCTCCTGCCCCATTAGGCCTCATATTCTCAAGACTTGAACTGTCCCTGGCAGACCTCAGTAGGCCAAGCCTGGCAGAGCATGCTGAAGCCTGCAGGATGATGGCAACAGCTACAGCTCTCACAGCTGATGGGGGTGCCTGTCCACATCTGCTTGTGTGGTCTTTTCCGCTCTCAATTTGTACAGGTAGTAGCTCAGATCTGTCTGGTGCACTTGAAGCTAGATCAGAAATACTCAAAATCAAAAAAACCCCACAAAAACCCAAACCCACTCTTTTTAAGCAACGTGTTTTGTGAGGCAAGCACTTCACAGGTCTAGTTCAGAGAGCTTGCAAATGAACTTGCACTGCCACAGTTCGGGAGGAAGCAAACTCTCCATGGTAGGTGATGAACAGCTGTGAAAGTGCGAGATTCTCCTATTGATGTAGGAGGGCATGGTGCACAATTACAGCATCACCTTGGTTGGTAGGGGTGAGCAGCAAGGCAAACTGCATTCTTTGGGAGGGTAAATGGAAGCAGAAGAATAAGTAAAAAATCTCATCTATGATGTTTTGTCCAGCTTCAGAGGTGCCTCAGGTCTGTCAGTTCTTGCAATACATCCTTCCTTCCTGGTTTATGGCATGCAGAATGAGAACCTTTGCACCTGCTCTGTGAAACAGCTTTACAGTAAGCCCCAGGGACATGATCAGCTCCCATAACCTGCAGAAGCAGTTATAGGAGACATTTAAACACTTCTGCTCTTTGAGGAAGTTGAAGACTGTTACCTATCAGGCTCTAGGTGCAAACTTGCTGTCCCCATGTGCCAGAAGTCAGTGCTTTGGCACCTTTCAAAAAGTCTAAATTAAATCAAGCAAATCGCTCTTTAATATTTATGGCTGGCCGAACCAGAATGATTCTGCCAAACTGCAGTAAACTGGAGAAACTGAAGATTGTCTCTTGAGGACTCAAATGAGGATTCTCCATCTGAAATGCCCTTTGACACCCGTGAGGTGGCAGGTAATACTAAAAGATTATTACAACAGGCTTTTGGCAGTAGAAGCTTTTCATAATACAACGCTGACTGTAGCAGTCTGTCCCTTATGTATCTGCCTAGGGTCTTACACGTTTTCTGTACATGCTATTCTGAGCAAACTTCTCAATGTAAGTATCAGGACTGCATGGACTGTCCAGCAATGAACTGTTCAGCAAATCTTGCATTGCTACTGACCAGAACTCCATTGTTCCCTTTGCCTTATATTCAAGTATATGTATAGGGGAAAAAAAAGAGTTTCTCATTCAGTGTAATTCATTTTGTGGAATTCCAGGTTATATTTTTTAGCCAGCTTTTATTCATGGGTTTACTCTGCTTGCCCTTGTCTGCATCAAAGCAGGGGTGTTCATGCCTCTTTTACAAGGGAACATTTAATAGTTCCTGTTTGTGAATAAACAAAAATGTATTTTAAATCCTCAGTTTTCCAGAAGATGCCTGCGTGCATTTGGAAAGGAAGACAAGTATTGGGAGAGATTAAAAGACTGTGATGTATTTGAGGTTGAGGTAAGGACCGTTGTCTTCTTTCAAGTGGTTCCTGCAGAGCTTTGTCCAGTTCCTGGCTGGGGTGCTACTGCCATAACCTTAATTGATTTAAATTGCTATATTTTTGCATACAAATACCACAATCCCCTTTGCCTTACTTAATTGTATATTAAATATAGTGACTCTATAAAATTGATATGGTCCTGAGTTGCATGTGTGCATCACCTGTGTCCTAATTCAGACTGAAATGCAGTGAATAATTTCATAGCAATAACTTGTTATCGAACACTCTGGTAAGAGGCTGGTTCCTGCACAGAATGATTTCAAATGAATAGAAACCACTGAGAAAAAAATAGTCTGGGATAATGAGCCATGATTACGGAATGAGCACAAATGTCGGGGTTGCATCTTTTGTTAGACTGCACATTTTATTTACAGCTTAACATCCAGCAGCTATTTTAAGATCTCCTAGTAATCAAGCCTAAAAACTGGGAATAAAGTCAGTCCACAGATGTTCTCTCTGCACAGCCCTCCAAGAGGTTGTCTGAATGGGTGCAAAATACTCTTTTGATCTGATTTCATTTGGTTTGATTTCTGGCTGCACAGCAGCATGTTGTTGCTCCATATGCAGGAAGAGGGACCTGTTTGATTTCAAATTCCTATTTATACCCAGCAGATGTTTTTAATCCTAGGGGTTTTTATTATTGTTATTAATGAAAAGGATCTGAAATAGCAAATGGCTGCTGTCTGCCATACCTGTATTAATTAAACCTCACCTTTGGTTAATATGGGCATTGTGGCAAAAAGAGAGTTAGAAAAAGACCACCAAGAGCCTGTCGTGGTGTGGTTGTGGTGAGCACAGCTTCTGCAAAACACTTTTAACCTTGTTAACCTCTGTGCCCCTCTTCTTCCTGCCCAGCAAGTTGTGGATGTGAGGTGGGTTCATAGGGGGCAGCTCCCTGCTCAGCTGAGCCAGCCTATTTGTTAATGCTGATCCTGCCTCTCCTCCCCTGGGCTAACATTGGTGCCTGTTCCATTGAGACAATTAAGTGAATAAAGCAGCAGGATGAGATTAACTTTATTGTTGTCTCTCCATCTTAGAGAGTTGAGTTGGCCTTTCGAAGGCTCTAGAGAGCCGAGGGATGCTCTGTTTTGCTTTCCAGTTGAGATACCTTTAATGATGATAATATTTTTTATTACTTATACCAAAGCAGCCTTACTGGTGGTATCTGAGTCTTAAGCCAGCAACGCCTGTAGTGGCAACAGAGGAGGAAGAGGGAGCAAGGGAGATAAAGAGTTTTTAACTTAACACTTGGGCTTAGACAACCCTGAGAAAGAAAATGCTGTCTTATCTGCAGTGTGTGTTCTGTGGGGTATGGTGCAAGCCACTCACCTGCTGCTTTCAGGTTTGTATAAAGATGTTGCTTTTTCTTTTCCTACTGAATGAGTTATTCAAGAGAGGGTGACATCTTTAGGTCACTGGGTAAGGGTCAGGGCTTCTGCCATAGAAGGAGCTACAAGAGATGATGTGCTTACTGGTATCTTGATGTCTAGGTAGGGAAGTGAGGAAAAAAAGAGAAGGGGAAGAGAAAGAGGTGCAAAGTGAGAGAAGCAGCAGCAGAGCTGCATTACAGTGTATTTCAAAGTCAGTAAATTTATAGTTTAAGGTAAAAATGAGATGCAGGTGTCCTGT